ACTTGGAGTTACATTGTGTTGTTTAAGTGTTCCCTTAATTTTTTTGAGCAGTGTATATATGGATTCTGTGAATATATGAAAATATGACAAATTGTATGTGTGTATAATCTATTACTACAGATTTGATGAAGTAATAATGGAACGTATAATATTCATATACCAACTTGCGCACCCAAATGTAGACGTACGTCAGGGGTGGGGAAAAAAATAGATACAACAATTCTGAGTGGTCCGTTTATGGATCATTTGAAAAAGTTAAGGTTAAGCATTATATGACTGGGTAATAGTCTCAGAACATGGTTGGCGTATGTCCACTTTTGAAAAATATGGGGAATTGACTAACCGATGTAACTATAAAACGCTTATGGGATTTTCTCCGTCCGGGTACTACATTTAAAATAAAACTGCCCATAAGGCCTGAAAATGAGTTTTTTTCCCATACAGTTAGAGCAAATTAAGGTGGAATCTCCATGTAACTTATATCATAGTAAAAAAACTAATTAGGTTTTTCCATCTAAATAATTATCATTGCGGAGCTAATGTGATGTAGTAAAGGAATTTCATTATGTCGCAAGGGAAAAGATAATCCGGTTTTATTAAACTCATCAGATCTTTTTCCAAATCAATAAATGTGGATTTAACTCGTTGACTGCTAATGTATTCCCTTTGAGCATGTGAAATCTTTGCAAAGAAACACTTGGACAAACTTTAAGGGTCTTTTCTGGTAATTGTGTCGTTATGTGCCAGATGTTAAGACTACAAACCATTGTAATTGGGTTATTTGCGGGATTTACTTGTCATTTCAATAGGCACAGGGTCTGTGTTACTGACTACAATCTGGGTTTCTGATTGTAATTCAACTATTGGCATGTTTTGCTTCGATAGATACAACAGTCAGTGTTCAAATTTAAAGGTTCATTTATTCAACATGTGGGACAATTTTGAGGTAATAATTGTTTGTGTGTGGCTTAATGGTTTGCTGGAGGAACCTACTGAGAATGGGGTTGTAATTTAAAACACTGAATTGAATATGGATATGAATTGAATATATGCTTGTCAACAACAGCAAGTGTTTGTTTTATTACCTGTAGTCTAATCAGAAGGGACTGTTACCTATATCTTAATGCATTTTAATAATAGCGGATAGGCAATTGTGATAGAGCTGTGACTATGATCATAATTGATAACTAAACATGGGTATTAATTATTGCATGATAATACAAGGCTACAACAGCAATGAATTGAAGTTGTGGGCAGAAAGGGGGTCTAGCATTGTGAAGTGTTTTAGCGCCCGTCAAAATGTATATTTTTCCTTATGAATTGACTGATGTATAAATTTGGCGCATTACATGTTAACTTTAAAATAATGGACATTAAATAAGTGTGATGCAGAAAGAGAAGACAAAGTTGTCAAGTTTTTTAAAAACTTTACAATAGAAGTTAATGCAGAACATTGTTTGAGAATGGTTTTAAAAAATGTCTACTGGACAGAATGGAACAGTTTCTGTGTTTTAATCTGCGGGTGTTAGCGACTGGTGTTCGCTGAAATCGAGTGGGCTGTAATGGCCATAGTGGGTTAGTTTGGTGTAGAGTTTTGACTAAGTTGTATGCAGAGATGTTTTTGATAATTTCTAATTAATTAAACACTAATTATTTTGATAAGAAATATACTGAGAAACTTACTGTAAACCTGGGATACGAAATGTATGAAATGTTTGACTGTTTCTAAATAATTAGTCTAATATAGAAAGAAACACTTATTTGAAGGGTTTGAATGACCTCTGTCCTGACTTTCTAGTGTGGTTTGATCGCCCTCACTGTAAAGCCGGGAGACATTGGATGATGATTTAAAAGGTCATATGTAATACTGATTTGAAGGTAATTTGTAATACTGATAATTATGAAGAAGTTTATAGTTCATAGCCCTATTTGTGATTCGGTCCACAGGGGAGAAGGAGAGGGTGTTGCCTTTCAATAAGGGTTGGCTGTCTTAGGTCTATTTTCCTATGACCGTATTGGTAATTTTTATTTATTTTTGGATTTATTATGGATTTCTTATTTTAAATTGGTTTTTATTTCACCAGTAGTGTGTTTATTTTTTATTTTTTACACATTAATCACATTGTGAGTAATGTGTCAAAATGGGAGACTTACCAGTCCTCTGAAGGTTTTTTGGATTGAAGTTTTACACACCTTGAGTGATATATAGAAGTGTATTGAGTGATATATGAAGAAGTGTATTGTTGTGTTGTTTGTTCTGTTGTGTTTCGATACAAATCTCACCAGATTGGGTCTGCTGGATGATAGAGATAACTCCCTAAGTATTAGTGGTCTAACTTCCTGATCCTGTGACTCTGCGGTGAGGACGACAGTGTGATAGGGGAGTATAAGCCAATTTGAAAAAATTGTTTCAACAGAATGTGTTGTTATTCTATTTGACATTTGTCTTAGAAATGTGTATTAAGAATATTGGTAAAAGTAATAATTTGTCATACAGTTAATGCTTGTCTGGATTTCCTGAATCAGAAATTAACTGAACTAAACTGTTGTTCTGATCTGTCCTCTCTCGAGGTTATGGTGAAGGTGACTACAGATGGTATCTAGATGCATGGAAGGGATCATTTGGCCAAGAACGGTGTGAACCTCCTCTGACCGGCTGAAGAAGAAAATGGCGTTCAATACGGCCCTGTCCTGCACCACTTCTACCGAGAGACCCGAGTCCGAGCCAGCAACCTGTACACAGCATCCAATCGAAGCTATCAACTGCCTTTTCTCTCATGACTTTTCTCTCAGGAGTGCGACAGTAGTCCACATGGAGTGAGCATGGAGAGAGATCTGCTCCAAACTTCTCTCATGTTGCTGGTATACTGGTTGGCAAATGGACAAGACATAATAGGCATTGTGGTTGGGCTCAGGTGAGATATTAGTCTGTCTAGGAAAATCAGATTATTCCTGAGACATTGAAATTGGGACATTATCATGGGCCATCCATTTTGAACTGTGAAGCTATCTGAAGAAGACAATGAAGAGACGCCAGAAGAATGAGTGCCTGCAGGGGGGGTTGGTCAACTGTGCCCGTAATTGATTTAGGCTTGTCAAAAATGGTTTATTTTGGGATATCAGGTTGATTGTGGAGGTCTATGCACTGCTAAATGTATAGTAATTTAGATTAAGAATGCATTAAGATACTGATCTGTAATTATAAATTGTGATGAGAAAGTTAATACTAGAATTATGAATAATTATACTATATGTTAATATAAATGTACATTCTGCCAGTGTTGATATGTGTTAAGTTAAGGGTTTTAACTCTGAGTGATAGGACTAATGTGAATCACTGAAGCATTGTCATTCTAAATTTGGGTTGGATAACTGAATGATTTTTTGAAAACTGACTAATTGGTTTGAGTAAGTTTATAGTATGTTAATAACTATATGAGTGAAGCAATTAATGTATTAGGGATTGATTGTTTTGATTGTTGTTATGCTAATTGTGACATGGTTAAAGATGATGTGTACTAAAGATATTGACACTATTCTCAGAATGCCCTGGTGAATGAAGAGGTTGAACTCTGATCCTGAGAATGAAACTGATCCTAATCTATTTGACCTATATCCATTACCAAATTACATTTTTGATGATAATGATAATACTCAGAAACTATATCAGGTTTATGCTAATGAAACATTGAGTCCATAGGCGTTGCCTTATAAATAGTGGAATCATGATGCTTGTCCAGGGTCATGTTCATTAGGCACTAAACGGAATACATTTTACTTCAACCGCGAGTCACTACCTGGATTTGTCCAACAAGATATGCTAATTTTAGTTTCTACAGATGGTGTTATGGGGATGGAAATAGTTATTTACACTATGCTGACCAATAGGAGTGTGCTGAGTATCAACATGATGATTGTGTTTCGTAATGATGAGAAATGTATTTTCAATTTAGATTGCTGATAATTTCTTAATGATATTTGAATGTTTATATCATTCCCAATGAAGGAGAATTTATGTTAAGGTTGAAAGCTCAATGAACCAACGGATGGTCATTTACAATGGTAACATACTAGTGCAAGGAAGTTTTTCCCCCCTATATGCTTGAGTTAGAAGTTGTTTGATGTTTTATTTGTAATTCATGTATTTTTTAACCTTGTAATTTTCTTTTAAATTGAGAGAAATCTCAAAATGGGGGATTGTGGTGGAGAAATTACAAGATTATGTTTAATACTGTATATGCAATAGAATAGGGTTCTTAGAACTCTCTCATCCGTGTCTGTGTGAACTGAGAGGAGCCTCTGAAGCTGGAGCTGACAATTGATTTATGATTGGTTTGGTGATAAAACCCACAGCATGCATTCCATAGAATGAGTTAGTGTTTGTGTAATGTAAGGTACCAGGTGAGAGGAACCTTGTCTTGGGGGCCAAACCCTGGTTTCCATACAATGAGAAGTCTTCACTGCAGATACTGTCTGCTGTAAATTATTCATTTCTTTCATACAAATCCTACCCTTTTGACTCATTCCACACATCTGCTGTTTGTCATGTAAACTGAGAGGGTGTATCTTTACTATAAAATATATTTTTATTGTCTGTATGTCAGAGCTCTCGGCCCAACATCAACCAGCCTCACTTACTACCTTATTAATACGTTTTGAATAAAGTAATATCCTGATTGGTGATTAACCTTGTCTCTCCTCATTATTGATTAGAATTTCCACGACACATGGTTTGTCTGCTACAGTTCTAGTGGCCTAGTGGTTAGAGCCAGAGGCTCACATATAGACCTAGACTCTGTACAGCCAAAGCAGAAGTTGAGAATAACTTTCATCAGATTCAGCACAAGTTAAGAAACATTGAGTGCAATTACTGTACATTGGGAAGAAGTACCTGCTCCATTTAAGACATCCCCCAAACATTTTCTAGGGCTATGTGGGTTAGGATAATGCAATAATCCATTAGTTTAAGAAAAAGTGTTTGAAATGAAATTTCTACCTGAGAAGAGCAGCCACAGCTCCCCTCTGAGGCTCTCAGGGATCCCATTGAGCACCAGCTCTCTGGTCTTGGAGGTACGGTACATACACACACCCCTGCCAAACTCAAAGAAGTGGATGTTCCACGACTCCTCCTTCATCTTCTCCTTTGTCTGAGGAGGAGAAAGTAAGAGGGGGGGGGGGGTCAGTATATCAGTATGACCTAACCAAAATGTAATCGAGCTAAAGGTATGTTTTAACAATATAACGACCAGAATGTTGTAAGGCCACGGTGGCTATGCTCCTTTGGCACCATGAGCAAAGCAAACAAAGTCAAAGCCCTACTACTAAGAGTCAGTAATCCTACAATCCCTTGAGTTTGGGAACCTAAACTGAGCTAGATAGCGGAGCCAGAGGGATGAACAAATGGTGGCCTTCAAGCTTGCCTATGCATACATTTGGCTAAGATAGTTTCCTCTAGTGTAATGTTAACCCTGAGGACCAGAACCATAGACACAGCATACATTAGCCTACATTCTAAAGCATCCAACTGTGTCTACATCACTAGGTAGGGACAATAAAAGACTGTTTAGAAAGGATCATTTCAGCTTAATAACAGATGGCGACCACACTGAAGTAATAAAACCCTATTAGAAATGTGTAGGATATTCTAAGAGGATAAGACAGTCTAAGCCGTTGACGTGGGTCTGGGAGTGGGGTTGAACTCACAGCTTTGGGTCCGTGGTCCTCTGGGGCGTCCTTCTGGTAGATGCGGAGCAGGCCCTGATTGGCTGTTGGCAGGCTGGGGCTGTAGTGGTGCCCCTGGGATGGTTCCACTGCTGCACCTATGGGTGTGGGGAGGCTGGAGGAGAGAGGGGTGGTACTGGGGCTGGGAGAACCCTGGGGAGAAGGAGGAGATCGTGGATTTAAAGGGGTGTTATGAGAGAAAGAATATGGATATTTTGATATGTGTAACAAACTAATGCATTCAGAGAAATCATTCTGCCAAAAGCATGAACACAAATGAGTGATTATAGCATATTATTGTCATGTAGAAAGTAGCAGAAAAATCACTGTATACATCAAAAAGCCCTATTATCCATCACAATTGCGATCTCGTTCACGACAGAGCATGACTGACAGTTCAAAGTAGGCTTGGGCGGTATACCGTATACCGGGTATTTGGAAAAAGCCACAGGATCGTTTTTCAATGCTGTCCATACCGTTTAAACTATTTATTTGGGGGTTTTCAATAAATGTGAATATTTGTAGCTACTTTTTAAGTAAATACCTGCAGTCAACTTGTGCAATAGGTTAGGAGATAAAGAACACTGCGTTCTTCATGTCTCATTATTATGAAGCTTACAGTAGTCCCCTGTCACGTGTCACATGGTGTTTGTTTACAAGCACACAACGACGAGAGACCGGAGCCTTGTGAGTCACTCACTGTTGTGCAGCATGCGCTAGGTGATCTAGTTACAGTATGGAATTCACAACTAAATGTTTGCCAGCTAGATATCTTATAGCTATTTAGTTAACCGTCTAAAATACGCTAAATGCTCTGCAGTTGTGCATTTGGTTTGCTAATTTAGTAGCTAGTTGACTTTCTGTTCTTCCAAAATCAAGCATTAATTTGGTAACAGCAGAGAATCCCCTCCTGGACCAAGAGCCTTGCTAGTAATATTTGTTTTGTTCGTGCAGCAAACTGTGGGTAGCATTTTTTTGTTACTTGTACAGTTTAGGTCAAAAACTGTACAAAATGTTTGCAATGAACTCGTTAGCATTTAGGTAGCATTCTCTATGGGATTTTACATGTACTTGTTAGCATTGGGTTTGAAAACAGCGCCCCTTGTGTATTACCGAACATCCCGGTATGGCACAAGGTTGGTATGAAGGTAAAGCCCAAGCCTAGTTCAAAGGATAGACCCAAACAGCACACCTCCCCTCTGATTGGCTCACCGAATGGCCACTGTCCGGGGTGCGCTGCAGGAAGTCGGAGATACGCTGGACCAGGAAGTCGCGGTCCTTGAGGTTGGCGAAGAGGAAGGTCATCTTGTTCTTGGTGCTGATGGACACGGGGCAGGGCAAGACGCTGCTGCTGTCTGCCTTCTCCACAATGGACACCTAGAGAGAGGGATGGAGGGAAGGAGGAGAGAGAAGGGGAGATAGCGAGAGGGATGGAGGGAAGGAGGAGAGAGAGCGAGAAGGGGAGATAGAGAGAGGGATGGAGGGAAGGAGGAGAGAGAAGGGGACACAGAGAGAGGGATGGAGGGAAGGAGGAGAGAGAGAGAAGGGGAGATATAGAGAGAGGGGGAGGGAAGGAGGAGATAGAAGGGGAGATAGAGAGAGTGGGGGGTGAGAGAGGGAGGGGAAGAGAGACAGAGTGTAGGAAAGAGATCTACTGAACAACTTTAAGAACATTAGGCACATCCCACAATGAGGGTCTGTCATGTCCCCCATGAAAAACAGAAAGACAGATAGAGGGTGAGAAAGTGAGAGTGAAAGAGAGAAAATGAAAATGAGAGAATAGGAAAGAGGGATGCAGGATATAGGGAAAAGAGAGGGAAAGAGACAGAGAAAGGAGGCAGAATGCAGGAAACAAGAGAAAGAGGGCTCATGCTAGCATTGTGTTGTGTGTGTAGGTACCTCTCTGAGGGGGATGATGAGCTGACAGAGGTCCTCCTCACGGCTGCAGAAACAGATGTAGTTGTTGGAGACAAACAGCTGGCCCACAATGTGCATCTTGGCAAAGGGCGTCCACAGCGTGCAGTCTGTGTGTCCGTCCAGGCGCTCGTCCTGGGTCAGACGGAAAAGCGCCCGGTAGCGCTCGTTCTTGGCCCGTGCATCCAGGTCCCTGAAGTTGACATCCAGTAGTGAGAGGAAAATAGTAAATTAGCAAAGTTAGAAAAAGTACAGATACAGTAAATACACACAAAAAATATGAATAATGTCTATAACTATACTATACCCCCAAAAGTGATGTATTGGTGAGATGCAGAAACGGACCACTACATTGAGGACCATTATTAGCTAAATCAGGTGTGTTAGGACCTGAATTGTCTACCCCTGTTCTCTAGAGGGTGAAAAGACACGTTCTTGGAAGTACCACTCCATTTCAGTGAAAACAGTTGTTCGAAATACCACATTTTGTAATGGTCTGAAAAAACAGGATTTTCCTTCCTCTTGTACCTTGAAACCTCCTACCTCTTGAGTGCCGAGACGTTCTTGAGCGTCTTGCAGGGCTTGGGCAGCGAGCGGTCGGCGGCGAAGCCCTCGTTGTCCAACAGTTGGCGCATGGCGATGGTGGCCAGCTGCTCCATGAGCTTGAAGGTGTCGTTAACGTTGAGGAACATGGAGAAGTAGTGCTCTGTGTGCCGCGTGCTCACCCGCACGCTCTCTGGGAACAGCAGCGTGGCGTTCTTCTCCAGGCGGGTGACCTCCGTCCACTGCACCACCAGGGTCACTATAAGGGGAGTGGGGGGTGGGAGAGAGATCATTTAGCAGACGCTTTTATTAAAATATTTCACTTCACTGAGAAAAGATGGGGGGAGACAGCGGGAGATACAGCATAGAGAAAGAGAGATAAAGATGGGAAGAGAGTGAGACAGAGGGAGAGAGAGAGAGCGAGAGAGCGAGCAAGATAGGGAGAGGGAGACATAGGCAGGGATAAGAGGGAGAAAGAGAAAAGGAAGGAGACAGTGGGGGCAGGGGGCAGGGAGAGATAGAAGGTGTACAGTAGAGGGGGAGAAACAGCAGAGGAGGAAGAAACAAAGAGGTAGATTTCATAGAGTTCCATCTTAGAGGATTGAATTAGTACAGCATTTTGCTGAGGGTTGGTGCTGCAACATTGAAGTGGGGCTATTCACTAGGAGTCAATCACATTCCTCAACATACGCACTAACACACACTCTCTAAGCCTCACTCTCTTCTTCTGTAATCTATCTCATAAGATCACTGCCCACAAACAGTACATTTCTTTCAATCCAATTGACATTTTTCAATCTCACACACACACACACACACACACACACACACCAGGGTTTCCGTTAGGAAAATTTGGTGCTAGACAACATGACCGGCAAGATTTTAATTTACTGGACATCCATATGCATTGGGTGCGTAACGCATTAGGACGTCCACCCACGGTGCTCAAAATCACATTTAGATTATTGTAATTCATTTTAACAGCTTAGAAATTAGCCTGTAAAGTAGAACAATGTTCTTATACCAATATCACAGGTTTTATTGAAAAGCAAAACATTGCCTGTTACTTCTTCTTTCCCTGCTATAAATCATTAAAAATAATAATGTTTTGCTTAGAAGAACAAGTCGCCTACACAGTAATAAAACTGATTTTAAAAAAATATTTGTATAATATAAATTTGCAAATTACCTGTCCTATAGGCTATTTGTATGACAATTTTTATAAATAAATAAACTAAACACGGCTGTTTTCAAATACAATCTACCCTTCTCTAATTTAATTTAGCTTAGGCATGAACATTTTAATTAGGTCTAATAAATCAAACATAGCTGTGTACAAACACCAGGGCCAGCCGGTTGGTCATGGCTAGAAGGGATCCAGCAGTCAGATTTGGCTTTCGTAGCAGGTTAGGAGAATTTACGCAGCAGGTTAGGATAATTAACTTAACAGGTTAGGAGAATTAGGTTAAGGTTAAGAAAATGGTTAGCTAAATTTGACAAAAGCTGGATCCCTTATAGCCATGACCGGCCCAGGCCGGCCCGTCCCACTCCCATTCCCGCTGCGAATCAGCATCGATAACAACTATTTTTCCTGTTGGCTGCCTAGTGATTGCAACATTGTAACAGTCCCATGTGAATAGTTGGCAATGATGTTTCGTTTCCAAGTGCTACTGAATAAGCTCAACTGAAATGCACCAATTGTGCATGATACACATCATTACTCTACTCTAGTCTATCAATCCATTGCAAATGTTTATACTATACATGACACAGGGGCGGCATATGTTGATCTTGCCTAGGGCTGCAGTAGAACTGCTAGGACTGGGCCTGATGAACACAATTTGTTTTGGAGAAAGAATCCCCTCTCGGCGGGCACACTGGAAACAAGTATAATCAACTCAATCTTCACCAATTTTGCCCAGTCAGGGTACACTTTTCTGAAGTCCCTTATGAGGACATGGCATATTTAACGTGAATAAAAATAGAAACACACATAACCAACACTAATTTCTTATAATTTCTTATCCTATGAAGTATACAGTGGCTTGCGAAAGTATTCACCCCCCTTGGCATTTTTCCTATTTTGTTGCCTTACAACCTGGAATTAAAATATATTTTTGGGGGGCTTTGTATCATTTGATGTACACAACATGCCTACCACTTTGAAGATGCAAAATATTTTTTTGTGTGAAACAAATAAGAAATAGGACAAAAAAACTGAAAACTTGAGCGTGCATAACTATTCACCCCCCCAAAGTCAATACTTTGTAGAGCCATCTGTTGCAGTAATTACAGATGCAAGTATCTTGGGGTATGTCTCTATAAGCTTGGCACAATCTAGCCACTGGGATTTTTGCCCATTCTTCAAGGCAAAACTGCTCCAGCTCCTTCAAGTTGGATGGGTTCCGCTGGTGTAAAGCAATCTTTAAGTCATACCACAGATTCTCAATTGGATTGAGGTCTGGGCTTTGACTAGGCCATTCCAAGACATTTAAACCACTCGAGTGTTGCTTTAGCAGTATGCTTAGGGTCATTGTCCTGCTGGAAGGTGAACTCCCGTCCCAGTCTCAAATCTCTGGAAGACTGAAACAAGAAATTCCCTGTATTTAGCATCATCCATCATTTCTTCAATTCTGACCAGTTTCCCAATCCCTGCCGATGAAAAACATCCCCACAGCATGATGCTGCCACCACCATGCTTCACTGTGGGGATGGTGTTCTCGGGGTGATGAGAGGTGTTGGGTTTGCGCCAGACATAGTGTTTTCCTTAATGGCCAAAAAGCTCAATTTTAGTCTCATCTGACCAGAGTACCTTCTTCCATATGTTTGGGGAGTCTCCCACATGCCTTTTGGCGAACACCAAACGTGTTTCCTTATTTTTTTCTGGCCACTTCTATAAAGCCCAGCTCTGTGGAGTGTACAGCTTAAAGTGGTCCTATGGATAGATACTCCAATCTCCGCTGTGGAACTTTGCAGCTCCTTCAGGGTTCTCTTTGGTCTCTTTGTTGCCTCTCTGATTAATGCCCTCCTTGCCTTGTCCGTGAGTTTTGGTGGGCGGCCCTCTCTTGGCAGGTTTGTTGTGGTGCCATACAGTGAGTGAAAAAAGTATTTGATCCCCTGCTGATTTTGTACGTTTGCCCACTGACAAAGAAATGATCAGTCTATAATTTTAATGGTAGGTTTATTTGAACAGTGAGAGACAGAATAACAACAAAAAAATCCTGAAAAGCGCATGTCAAAAACTTTATGAATTGATTTGCATTTTAATGAGGGAAATAAGTATTTGACCCCTCTGCAAAACATGACTTAGTACTTGGCAGCAAAACCCTTGTTGGCAATCATAGAGGTCAGACATTTCTTGTAGTTGGCCACCAGGTTTGCACACATCTCAGGAGGGATTTTGTTCCACTCCTCTTTGCAGATCTTCTCCAAGTCATTAAGGTTTCGAGGCTGACGTTTGGCAACTCGAACCTTCAGCTCCCTCCAGAGATTTTCTATGGGATTAAGGTCTGGAGACTGGCTAGGCCACTCCAGGACCTTAATGTGCTTCTTCTTGAGCCACTCCTTTGTTGCCTTGGCCATGTGTTTTGGGTCATTGTCATGCTGGAATACCCATCCACGACCCATTTTCAATGCCCTGGCTGAGGGAAGGAGGTTCTCACCCAAGATTTGACGGTACATGGCCCCGTCCATCGTCCCTTTGATGCGGTGAAGTTGTCCTGTCCCCTTTAGCAGAAAAACACCCCCAAAGCATAATGTTTCCACCTCCATGTTTGACGGTGGGGATGGTGTTCTTGGGGTCATAGGCAGCATTCCTCCTCCTCCAAACACGGCGAGTTGAGTTGATGCCAAAGAGCTCGATTTTGGTCTCATCTGACCACAACACTTTCACCCAGTTCTCCTCTGAATCATTCAGATGTTCATTGGCAAACTTCAGACGGGCCTGTATATGTGCTTTCTTGAGCAGGGGGACCTTGCGGGCGCTGCAGGATTTCAGTCCTTCACGGCGTAGTGTGTTACCAATTGTTTTCTTGGTGACTATGGTCCCAGCTGCCTTGAGATCATTGACAAGATCCTCCCGTGTAGTTCTGGGCTGATTCCTCACCGTTCTCATGATCACTGCAACTCCACGAGGTGAGATCTTGCAAGGAGCCCCAGGCCGAGGGAGATTGACAGTTATTTAGTGTTTCGTCCATTTGCGAATAATCGCAGCAACTGTTGTCACCTTCTCAGATGCTTGGTGATTGTCTTGTAGCCCATTCCAGCCTTGTGTAGGTCTACAATCTTGTCCCTGACATCCTTGGAGAGCTCTTTGGTCTTGGCCATGGTGGAGAGTATGGAATCTGATTGATTGATTGCTTCTGTGGACAGGTGTCTTTAATACAGGTAACAAACTGAGATTAGGAGCACTCCCTTTAAGAGTGTGCTCCTAATCTCAGTTTGTTACCTGTATAAAAGACACCTGGGAGCCAGAAATCTTTCTGATTGAGAGGGGGTCAAATACTTATTTTCCTCATTAAAATGCAAATCAATTTATAACATTTTTGACATGTGTTTTTTCTGTTTTTTGTTGTTGTTATTCTGTCTCTCACTGTTCAAATAAACCTACCATTAAAATTATAGACTGATCATTTCTTTGTCAGTGGGCAAACGTACAAAATCAGCAGGGGATCAAATACTTTCTTCCCTCACTGTATATACACGGAGTCACTCATGTGACTTAGATTGCACACAGGTGGACTTTATTTAACCAATTATGTGACTTCTGAAGGTAATTGGTTGCACCAGATCTTATTTAGGGGCTTCATAGCACACACCACTTTTCCGTTATTTATTTGTTAGAATTTCATTTCACTTCACCAATTTGGACAATTTTGTGTACGTCATTACATGAAATCCAAATAAAAATCCATTTAAATTACTGGTTGTAATGCAACAAAATAGGAAAAATGCCAAGGGGGATGAATACTTTTGCAAGGCACTGTATTTGCCTTTGAAGTTGGAGCACATCGACTGGATGAATAAAAAGCATTGTTTTATTTTGGGGGGGGGGGGGGACAATTCGGCTGGCAACAATTTAATTTATCGGCTTCTCATACAGTGCATTCAGTAAGTATTCAGACCCCTTCACTTTTTCCACGTTTTGTTACGTTACAGCCTTATTATGAAATGGATTAAATCATTTTTTCCCCTCATCAATCTACACACAATACCCCATAATGACAAAGCAAAAACAGGTTTTTAGACATTTTTGCTATTGTATATTAAAAAAAAATGTATTACATAAGTATTCAGACGAAGCCCGCTTGGAGTTTGCCAAAAGGCACCTACAGACTCTCACACCATGAGAAACAAGATTCTCTGGTCTGATGAAACCAAGATTGAACTCTTTGGCCTGAATGCCAAGTGTCACGTCTGGAGGAAACCTGGTTCCATCCCTACGGTGAAGCATGGTGGTGGCAGCATCATGTTGTGGGGATGTTTTTCAGCGGCAGGGACTGGGAGACTAGTCGGGATGGAGAGAAAGATGAACGGATCAAAGTACAGAGAGATCCTTGATGAAAACCTGTTCCAGCGCGCTCAGGACCTCAGACTGGGGCTAAGGTTGCAGTTCCAACAGGACAACGACCCTAACACACAGTCAAGACAATGCAGGAGTGGCTTCGGGACAAGTCTCTGAATGTCCTTAAGTGGCCCAGCCAGAGCCCGGACTTGAACCCGATCGAACATCTCTGGAGAGACCTGAAAATAGCTGTGCAGCGACGCTCCCCATCCAACCTGACAGAGCTTGAGAGACTCTGCAGAAAAGAATGGGAGAAACTCCCCAAATACAGGTGTGCCAAGCTTGTAGTGTCATAACCAAGAATATTTGAGGCTGTAATCGCTGCCAAAGGTGCTTCAACAAAGTACTGAGTAAAGAGTCTGAATACTTATGTAAATGTTATATTTATGTTTTTTTTGTCCTGTTTTTGCTTTGTCATTATGGGGTATTGTGTGTTGATTGATTAGGGATTTTTTATTTTTTTTTAAACCAATTTTAGAATAAGGCTGTAACGTAACAAAATGTGGAAAACGTCAAGGGGTCTGAATACTTTCCGAATGCACTGTATGTTATATATTTACCAGCTAATGGAAACCCTGCTCCACACCCACCTTCTTTCCCCAGGAGGAGGGAGTAGAAGCACAGGTGGTTGACGCTGAGGTAGACCCAGCCCTGGCGGGGCACACGGCCCTTCCAGTAGCTACAGGAGTAGTAGTTGACCAGCTTCTCCTCGTCGGGCATGCCAAACAACTTCCTCATCTTCAGCTCAGCCTCGCGGAACTTGCCAGAGTCCTCGTCCTCCAGGGCCGCATTGCTTTTGTTCTCCTCAGCGATGATGCCCTAGATAGAAAGAGTGGAGGAGGGAGTTAGGTTATTATCCAATAAACACACACACGAGCGCCCTCACAAGCATACCACTTAGCATGGGCCTGCATGGAATTTTCCGGATTGTGTGGGTTTAGATTAGAGGTCCTCACAGATCCACCTGTACCCAAATACCCGAGTCCCGTTCCGGGACCTGAGTGGGTCCGGATCCAGAATTCTAAATGTCACGTGTCTGGGTCGGATCTGATATGATTGTCACGAGTCTGTATAATTTTAACTGACTTGTCCGGAAGTACCCGTACAGATCCGAACGCGACTGCTGCAGTAGAGAGAGAGAGAAAGAAATTGTATTATTTATGCTGCTGGTCTTTGCTTTTCACAAGAGTGGCGCATGTAGCTTGTTGTTGGCCAAACATAAGTCATCAAAGCGGCAATAGGCTACAGTCATAGAGCCTCCGTGTGTGGCAAAAGTTAGTTGAGATCTGATCAATGGAAGATGGAATTAAAATGACGGAATTAAAAGTTAAAGGAGAAGGATAAGCTACAAAGAACAAGAGCCAACAGATAGGCTGCTACTTTATATTTTTAATGGGTTGTTGTTGTTGTTTGTAACTGTGCAGGACAGGAAAGCACATGCAGCCTCGCTAGCTAACTTACAGTTGAAGTTGGAAGTTTACATACACTTAGGTTGGAGTCATTAAAACTCGTTTTTCAACCACTCCACAAATTTCTTGTTAACAAACTATAGTTTTGGCAAGTCTGTTAGGACATCTACTATCTATATCCACAGTAAAACAAGTCCTATATCGACATAACCTGAAAGGCCGCTCAGCAAGGAAGAAGCCACTGCTCCAAAACCGCCATAACAAAGCCAGACTACGGTTTGCAACTGCACATGTGGACAAAGATCGTACTTTTTGGAGAAATGTAATCTGGTCTGATGAAACAAAAATAGAACTGTTTGGCCATAATAACCATCGTTATGTTTGGAGGAAAAAGGTGGTTGCTTGCAAGCCAAAGAAAACCATCCCAACTGTGAAGCACGGGGTGGCAGCATCATGCTGTGGGGGTGCTTTGCTGCAGGAGGGACTGATGCACTTCACAAAATAGATGGCATCATGAGAAAGGAACATTATGTGGATATATTGAAGCAACATCTCAAGACATCAGTCAGGAAGTTAAAGCTTGGTCGCAAATGGGTCTTCCAAATGGACAATGACCCCAAGCATACTTCCAAAGTTGTGGCAAAATGGACAACAAAGTCAAGGTATTAGAGTGGCCATCACAAAGCCCTCAATCCTATATAACATTTGTGGGCAGAACTGAAAAAGCGTGTGCGAGCAAGGAGGCCTACAAACCTCACTCAGTTACACCAGCTCTGTCAGGAGGAATGGGCCAAAATTCACCCAACTTATTGTGGGAAGCTTGTGGACGGCTACCCAAAACGTTTGACCTAAGTTAAACAATTTAAAGGCAATGCTACCAAATACTAATTGAGTGTATGTAAACTTTTGACCAACTGGGAATGTGATCAAAGAAATAAAGCTGAAATAAATCATTCTCTCTACTATTATTCTGACATTTCACATTCTTAAAATAAAAATAAAGTGGTGATCCTAACTGACTTAAGACAGGGAATTTTTACTAGGATTAAATGTCAGGAATTGTGAAAAACTGAGTTTAAATGTATTTGGCTAAGGTGTATGTAAACTTCCGACTTCAACTGTAACTAGCTTCTCCCGGGTTTGATGCAGTCAAAACAGGCATTACGTAATCATATTGGATGATAAATAACCTAGCTATGGCAGCTATTAGTCTACTATAGCGTGAGTCGGCTTGGTTGGTTGGTTGCTGTCTCTCCCTCCCTCCCTCCTGTTCCCGTGTCACTCGCTCACACTCACAGTAGCCTACACACACAGCACGGCCCCTACTAGAGTGCCACCTCTCTCTACCTCCTCTCCCTTGCGCTTTATCAGCTCTGGTTAATAAAGTAGCTTAAAAATGGACTTTTCTGCTGATTCCCTCACTCAGATCGGGTCTGGATCCGACCATCGTGGTCCGTTCGGAATGGGTCTCTATATTTAAAAAATGTATGTATTATTCCGGATGGGAAAGCCCCAGGTCCATTTCGGAACGTGTCCAACTTTTTGGACCTGTGAAGGCCTCTAGTTTAGATTAATGTGACAATGATGCATAGTGAAGGAACTGAGTCAGTAGCTTAACGCAGGAGCAACAATTAGCTAGGACATAACAGGGTATGACCATTGAATTCTAATTTGTTCTAATTCTGAGGTTGAACTATACTTTGTGGCAGCAGTGCCTACCGAGATCTTCCCCTTGACGAAGGTGGTGATGTCTTCGTCGTTGTCGAAGATGGAGAGCGTTTGGAGTAGGTTGGTCTCCAGCCACTCCCAATGCTCTGTGACCTCCTTCCGGGAGGAGCCTGGGAAAACACAGTATTTCCCCACATCAACATAAAGGTAAAATCGGGTATAGGTGAGCTTTAGTGGGTGTGCTTTAGTGGGTCTAGGTGTGTTTTAGTGGGTGTGCTTTAATGGATCTAGGTGTGATTTAGTGGGTGTGCTTTAGTGGGTATAGGGTTGGGATTGGTAGCTTAGTGGTTAAGAGCGTTGTGCCAGTAACCGAAAGGTCGCTGGTTCTAATCCCCGAGCCGACTAGGTGAACAATCTGTCGATGTGCCCTTGAGCAAGGCACTTAACCTTAATTGCTCCTGTAAGTCGCTCTGGATAAGAGCGTCTGCTAAATGACTAAAAATGTTGATAAAAAAAAATGATTGGGGGATCTGTACCTATGGTAAACTTCAACCCGGAGTGCTTTAGTGCAGCTAGCATAGGTGAATCTTGATATTGTAAAGCAGTGTTGTAGTCGAGTCACTAAATCTTGAGTCGAGTCCATATGGCTGAAGTATGAGTCCAAATCCGAGTCACGAGTCCATCAATTTATAATAGGTCTCAACATGCAACTGTTTCTAGTCACCACCAAATGGCGTCACTCCGTCAACCCAACTAATTTACTATTCATCACTACCTCACAAGTTCTACTCAATAGTGTTTCACTACTTATTTACTACATTTTGTAATCGCCCACTGATATTTGAGTCGTTTTTTTTTATTGCAGAGTGAAAACTAAAGGGAGACTTGTCAGAACCTGGCTTTGGGATGCATTGGATAAAGTGGGAGGGTGGTGCAAGATGAAAATTCAAAGAGAGAGACAAATAGCTACACTGTTGTACTATTAAACTCAATACTATAGTTTTCAATTTTGTAAAGCAGTTTCTGTTTCTTAACCAAGCAAAGCTAAATAGTAGGCTGGTAACTGGTGTTTATTTGCACCCCAGTATCTCTATTTGCACATAATCTCTTGCACATCTATCATTCCAGTGTTAATACTAATTGTAATTATTTTGCACTATAGCCTATTTATTGCCTTACCTCCATAACTTGCTACATTTGCACACACTGTATATATATTTTCTGTTTTATTTTTGACTGCATGTTTTGTTTTACCCCATATGTAACTCTGTGTTGTTGTTGTTTTTAATCGCACTGCTTTGCTTTATCTTGGCCAGGTCGCAGTTGTAAATGAGAACTTGTTCTCAACTGGCTTACCTGGTTAAATAAAGGTGAAATAAAAATAAATACAAGTTTATGGGGAAGCAAGAGAGTCGCTTGCGCGATGTGTAGCCTATGATGGGAGGCTGAGCCGGAGCGGAGCCTACCTGTCTGTCTGCCCACACTCATCGCTTGCTCCCCCACAGCTCACCAGCTGATGTAGGCTGTGTGTGCCGGGTGTGGCGCGTCCTTCCCACTGCTAGAGAACAGAACCCTTGCTGCTCTGCTCACCCAGTGTTGCTAATATTCTGCTCACCATTGTAGCCTATCCAGTCCAAGTGCAAAGTCACGGGAAGGCCAGTCCGAGTCACTAATGGTTGAGAAGGTGAGTCCGAATCCTGGACTCAATTAATACAACACTGTTCTAAAGTGACTTCCTCTCCTTGTCACCTTTCCCTTCTTGGCACAGATATTAATAAAACAGGGCCCCTGTGTCCGGTCTAAATCATGACTGTGCCTTGGCTACCGTGTAGCAACCAGAGGATGTGAGCGGAGTGGAGCTAGAGTAGAGCGTTTGTAATTTGGCTGGCGCGTGGAGCGGATTTCTAAAATGTGGGAGCTTCAGCCTTCTCTCTCACTCCAATTTCACTCTGGTACCGCTCAGCCACAAGCTCTGGGGTCAGAGGATGTGAGCAGAGTGGAGCAGGAGTGGAGCGAGGAGCATGTGTAATTTTGCTGGAGAAAATATAATTTTGGGGGGAGTGTCTGCTTTCTCTTTCGCTCCGGTACCACTAAGCCACAAGCTCTGGACCTAGCGGTACCAAAAGCCCTGGTCTTCCCTAGAAAGCCTCTGTAAATGATGATCACCAGAACAGCCCCAACCTTTTTTAGACTGAAGTGTTTTTTTTTTTTTTTTTTTGCTTATTATGAACAAGTTCGATCCCCACTGTGAATTATTTTAAAGTTTCCTACAAATCGAGATATTTAATTAAATAGTGATCCATTCTGACTACTACATTTGTTGTCACACAGGACCACGTGCTGACACAGACCAATCACAGGCCGGCAGGCTACGAGGAGGCTCGCGCCCTCATGCCATAGACAATAAGGTTGTCTCTCTCAGGCAAGATGAAAACAACTACATCGACCACGATCCTTTGCTAGTTACGGCCACTTTCACCATGATCCTTAGCGTTTTTGGGTGACACCGAGCCCCATTCAGCAATATGGCGCGCTTCAAATTCAAATACTACTGGTAATAATGGCGCCGGAGGAGATGGCTGCCGTTTTACGGGCAGCTCACCAATTGTAACCCTGGGACTAAACACCTCCCTGCAACTGGATCCTGGACTTCCTGACGGCCCGCCCCTATGTGGTAAGGGTAGATAACAACACATCTGCTACGCTGATCCTCAACCCGGGGGCCCCTCACGGGTGCATGCTCAGTCCCCTCATGTACTCCCTGTTCACCCATGACTGCATGGCCAGGCTCCAACACCATCATTAAGTTTGCCTACGACACAACAGTGGTAGGCCTGATCACAGACAAAGATGAGACAGCCTATCGGGAGGAGGTCAGAGACCTGGCCGTGTTGTGCGAGGATAACAACCTCTCCGTCAACGTGATCAAGAGAAAGGAAATGATTGTGGACTACAGGAAAATAAGGACCGAGCACACCCCCATTCTCATCGACGGGGCTGTAGTGGAGCAGGTTGAGAGCTTCAGGTTCCTTGGTTTCCACATCACCAACAAACTATCATGGTCCAAATACACCAAGACAGTCGTGAAGAGGGCACAACAAAGCCTATTCCCCCTCAGGAGACTGAAAAGATTTGGCATGGGTCCTCAGATCCTCAAAAAGTTATACAGCTGCACCATCGAGCGCATCCTGACTGGTTGCATCACTGCCTGGTATGGCAACTACTCGGCCTCCGACCGCAAGACACTACAGAGGGTAGAGCGTACGGCCCAGTACATCACTGGGGCCAAGCTTCCTGCCATCCAGGACCTCTATACCAGGCGGTGTCAGAGCAGGGCCCTAAAAATTGTCAAAGACTCCAGCCACCATAGTCATAGACTGTTATCTCTGCTACCGCACGGCAAGTGGTACCGGAGCGCCAAGTCTAGGTCCAAAAGGTTTCTTAACAGCTTCTACCCCCAAGCCATAAGACTCCTGAACAGGTAATCAAATGGCTATTGGACTATTTCCGCTCCAGCAGGTATATCTCACTGGTCATCCCCAAAGCCAACAACTCCTTTGGCCGCCATTCCTTCCAGTTCTCTGCTGCCAATGACTGGAACGAACTGCAAAAATCTCTGAAACTGGAGACTCTTATCTCCTTCACTAACTTTAAGCATCAGTTGTCAGAGCAGCTTACCGATCACTGCACCTGTACACAGCCCATCTGTAATTAGCCCACCCAACTACCTCATCCCAATATTGTTATTTATTTTGCTCAATAGCACCCCAGTATCTCTATTTGCACATCATCTTCTGCACATCTTTCATTCCAGTGTAAATACTAAATTGTAATTATTTTGCACTATGACCTATTTATTGCCTTACCTCCATAACTTATTACATTTGCACACACTGTATATAGATTTTATACTGTGTTATTGACTGTACATTTTGTTTATCCCATGTGTAACTCTGTGTTGTTGTTTTTATCGCACTGATTTGCGTTATCTTGGCCAGGTCGCAGTTGTAAATGAGAACTTGTTCTCAACTGGCTTACCTGGTTAAATAAAGGTGAAATAAAAATAAAAATAATAATTTGATTTGATTCATGCACCATCGGGAGTTTTCCATAGGAATACATGGAATACGTCAGAGCTATCTCTATCTACTGCTTGTAATGTCTACAGTATAAACCTAGAACAGTGCAAATAAAGGAGAGGTCTCTTAAAACTTGATGATAATGGTTCACATTTATATAGGCCTAGCACTTTTATACAGTTTTATTTAAATAGGCTAGCTTCAAATACAGTTTGGCTGTCCCAGAACATTCAGAGTTGTCATGGCATGGTTTTGCACCCACCACATGCGATGCTGCAGAAGATCTGGGAGTCCCCCGTCTGGTGCAGGATCCTATAGGGAGCCACTCTGGCACTGGAGTCCAGGACAACATCCATTGTGCCCACAAACAAGCCTAAAGAAAACAGCACAACAAGTTAGGCTACTATTCAATGTATGCCCCTTACAATCTGATTTGCATTTTAGTAATTTAGCAGACGCTCTTATCCAATATCCAGAATTACTTACAGTAGCAATTAGAGCTAAGTGCCTTGCTCAAGGGCACAGACTTTTCACAAGTCAGCTCAGGGATTTGAACCAGCGACCTTTCGGTTACTGGCCCAATACTCTTAACTGCTAAGCTACCTGTAGTAATGAAGTATCTCACTATAGTTTTTCAATTGACTAGTTGAGATAATAGGACTACAGGAATCCCAATAGGTGACTACAGGTCAATCATCCAACAATATTGTATTGCTGGCTGGAGGAGTCCTTACTTTGCATGGATTACTTTTAACCTGGGTAAACAAAGGTTATTTGGCTACGATGTGAACTGACATCTGTTTGTTAGTTGTGAGGAAGTCCAACGCCTGTTGAGGCCCAATGCCAGACAAACCAGACATGCATTCAAACTCACGTGTGGGCAAGCACACACACTCACACCTCAAGAATTTCTACAGTGGGGAAAAAAGGTATTTAGTCAGCCACCAATTGTGCAAGTTCTCCCACTTAAAAAGATGAGAGAGGCCTGTAATTTTTAATCATAGGTACATGTCAACTATGACAGACAAAATGAGGGGAAAAAAAATCCAGAAAATCACATTGTAGGATTTTTAATGAATTTATTTGCAAATTATGGTGGAAAATAAGTATTTGGTCAATAACAAAAGTTTCTCAATACTTTGTTATATACCCTTTGTTGGCAATGACACAGGTCAAACGTTTTCTGTAAGTCTTCACAAGGTTTTCACACACTGTTGCTGGTATTTTGGCCCATTCCTCCATGCAGATCTCCTCTAGAGCAGTGATGTTTTGGGGCTGTCGCTGGGCAACATGGACTTTCAACTCCCTCCAAAGATTTTCTATGGGGTTGAGATCTGGAGACTGGCTAGGCCACTCCAGGACCTTGAAATGCTTCTTACGAAGCCACTCCTTCGTTGCCCGGGCGGTGTGTTTGGGATCATTGTCATGCTGAGAGACCCAGCCACGTTTCATCTTCAATGCCCTTGCTGATGGAAGGAGGTTTTCACTCAAAATCTCACGATACATGGCCCCATTCATTCTTTCCTTTACACGGATCAGTCGTCCTGGTCCCTTTGCAGAAAAACAGCCCCAAAGCATGATGTTTCCACCCCCATGCTTCACAGTAGGTATGGTGTTCTTTGGATGCAACTCAGCATTCTTTGTCCTCCAAACACGACGAGTTGAGTTTTTACCAAAAAGTTATATTTTGGTTTCATCTGACCATATGACATTCTCCCAATCCTCTTCTGGATCATCCAAATGCACTCTAGCAAACTTCAGACGGGCCTGGACATGTACTGGCTTAAGCAGGGGGACACGTCTGGCACTGCAGGATTTGAGTCCCTGGCGGCGTAGTGTGTTACTGATGGTAGGCTTTGTTACTTTGGTCCCAGCTCTCTGCAGGTCATTCACTAGGTCCCCCCGTGTGGTTCTGGGATTTTTGCTCACCGTTCTTGTGATCATTTTGACCCCACGGGGTGAGATCTTGCGTGGAGCCCCAGATCGAGGGAGATTATCAGTGGTCTTGTATGTCTTCCATTTCCTAATAATTGCTCCCACAGTTGATTTCTTCAAACCAAGCTGCTTACCTATTGCAGATTCAGTCTTCCCAGCCTGGTGCAGGTCTACAATGTTGTTTCTGGTGTCCTTTGACAGCTCTTTGGTCTTGGCCATAGTGGAGTTTGGAGTGTGACTGTTTGAGGTTGTGGACAGGTGTCTTTTATACTGATAACAAGTTCAAACAGGTGCCATTAATACAGGTAACGAGTGGCGGACAGAGGAGCCTCTTAAAGAAGAAGTTACAGGTCTGTGAGAGCCAGAAATCTTGCTTGTTTGTAGGTGACCAAATACTTATTTTCCACCATAATTTGCAAATAAAATCATAAAAAATCCTACAATGTGATTTTCTGGATTTTTCTTCTCATTTTGTCTGTCATGGTTGACGTGTACCTATGATGAAAATTACAGGCCTCTCTCATCTTTTTAAGTGGGAGAACTTGCACAATTGGTGGCTGACTAAATACTTTTTTTCCCCACTGTACCTTATGTACTATCATGGTCCAAACACACCAAGACAGTCGTGAAGAGGGCACGACAAAGCCTATTCCCCCTCAGGAGACTAAAAAGATTTGGCATGGGTCCTCAGATCCTCAAAAAATTCTACAGCTGCACCATCGAGAGCATCCTGACTGGTTGCATCACCGCCTGGTATGGCAACTGCTTGGCCTCTGACCGCAAGGCACTACAGAGGGTAGTGCGTACGGCCCAGTACATCACTGGGGCAAAGCTCCCTGCCATCCAGGACCTCTATACCAGGCGGTGTCAGAGGAAGGCCCTCAAAATTGTCAAAGACTCCAGCCACCCTAGTCATAGACTGTTCTCTCTGCTACCGCACGGCAAGCGGTACCGGAGTGCCAAGTCTAGGTCCAAAAGACTTCTCAACAGCTTCTACCCCCAAGCCATAAGACTCCTGAACAGCTAATCATGGCTACCCAGACTATTTGCACTGCCCCCCCACCCCATCCTTTTTACGCTGCTGCTACTCTGTTAAGTATTTATGCATAGTCACTTTAACTCTACCCACATGTACATATTACCTCACTACCAACTAGCCGGTGCCCCCGCACATTGACTATGCAACGGTACCCCCCTGTATATATAGCCTCCCTACTGTCACTTTATTTTACTGTATATATAGCCTCCCTACTGTCACTTTATTTTACTTCTGCTCTTTTTTTCTCAACACTTTTTTGTTGTTGTTTTATTCTTACTTTTTTGTTTAAAATAAATGCACTGTTGGTTAAGGGCTGTAAGTAAGCATTTCACTGTAATGTCTGCACCTGTTGTATTCGGCGCATGTGACCAATAAAATTTGATTTGATTTGATTTGATTTTTACTGTCTTCATGCGACGGGTTAATGTGTACTGTGGGCTAGTCTAAGACTTATGTTCCTAGAACTGGTCAGCAAAAGCAGCAGCAGTGGTGCTGTAGCTAATACAGAGAGGGACTTGGGGAGGGATATCTGAATCAAAGGGAAACATCAAACTCTTGTGAATGAAAGACCACTTGTGTTTAGTCACTTAAAAGAGCGACTGCCTTTAAAAAGCAACACATCCCTTTGAAAACGGCCTATGTGGATAACATGGTGAACTGCTGCTGTGATTGCTCTTTATCGAATAGCATAGACAGCAACAGCCCTGCCCAGCACGCAGACTTTGTTTACATAAGACAACACGTCGCGCATTTTCTTACTTGAGAAATACTGCACCAAACACCTTAGTTACATGTAAAATTGCGCAACTAAAACATCACCGGCCAAAACATCAAAATTAATTATAGATTTATCGAGTTATCTTAGATTCATTCTGAGGAAGTGAAATAGGCTTCCGCCTCTACAGTGTCTCACGGGGGACAAACAACATTAGCCAAACGCGGAATCGGTCAGGAAACACCTCCAAGACTGAAATCTAATTTTTCTAATGAGCAACAGAAAAACACAAGTGCCAATCGGCTTGTTCTGTGGCTCATTAAATGAGACTTGACTTGAGGCCGTCTGGGTAGACTTGGGGAGTTTCTCTCATTCTTCTCTGCAGATCCTCAAGCTCTGTCAGGTTGGATGGGGAGTGTCGCTGCACAGCTATTTTCAGGTCTCTCCAGAGATGTTCGATCGGGTTCAAGTCCGGGATCTGGCTGGACAACTCAAGGACATTCAGAGACTTGTCCCGAAGCCACTTCTGAGTTGTCTTGGCTGTGTGCTTAGGGTCGTTGTCCTGTTGGAAGGTGAACCTTCGCCCCAATCTGAGGTCCTGAGCGCTCTGGAGCAGGTTTTCATCAAAGATCTCGCTGTACTTTGCTCCGTTCACCTTTCCCTCGATCCTGACTATTCTCCCAGTCCCTGCCGCTGAAAAACATCATGATGCTGCCAACACCATGCTTCACCGTAGGGATGGTGCCAGGTTTCCTCCAGACGTGACGCTTGGCATTCAGGCCAAAGAGTTCAATTTTGGTTTAATCAGACCAGAGAATCTTGTTTCTCATGGTCTGAGAGTCTTTAGGAGCCTTTTGGCAAACTCCAAGCACGCTGTCATGTACCTTTTACTGAGGAATGGCTTCCGTCTGGCCACTCTACCATGGTGGAGTGCTGCAGAGATGGTTGTCCTTCTGGAAGGTTCTCCCATCTCCACAGAGGAACTCTAGAACTCTGTCAGAGTGACCATAGGCTCTTGGTCACCTCCCTGATCAAGGCCCTTCTCCCCTGATTGCTTAGTTTGGCTGGGCGGCCAGCTGTAGGAAGAGTCTGGGTGGTTCCAAACTTCTTCGATTTAAGAATGATGGAAGCCACTGTGTTCTTGGGGACCTTCAATGCTGCAGATATGTTTTGGTACCCTTCCCCAGATCTGTGCCTTGACACAATCCTGTCTCGGAGCTCTACGGACAATTCCTTCGACCTCATGGCTTGGTTTTTGCTCTGACATGCACTGTCAACTGTGGGACCTTATATAGACAGGTGTGTGCCTTTCCAAATCATGTCCAATCAATTGAATCTACCACAGGTGGCCTCCAATCAAGTTGTAGAAACATCTCAAGGATGATCAATGGAAACAGGATACATCTGAGCTCAATTTCGAGTCTCATAGCAAAGGGTCTGAATATTTATGTAAACAAGGTATTGCTGTTTTTCATTATTAATAAATGTGCAACAATTTCAAAAAATCTGTTTTCACTTTTTCTTATGGGGTATTGTGTGTAGATTGATGAGATTTAAAATATATATATATATATATATATATATATATATATATATATATATATTTTAGAATAAGGCTGTAACGCAACAAAATGTGGAAAAGGTCAGGAGGTCTGAATACTTTCCGAATGCGCTGTATCTGGTGTTTTATGATAGCATCCAAATTCAATATGGGAGGCTAATCCAACTTCCATTGTTTTTGTCATATGACAGAGCTAGCTAGACTCAGGTCTCAGGTTGGTTAAGAAGGGTGCAATCGCGGCCCGCAATTGGGGGAGTTCCTGCATGTTGGCATTCCTGCATCTGCAAGAACTAGTGACGGGAAGTTCAGCTCTTTTTACTGACTCCGATCTATTTGACTCGTTCAGTCAAAAGAACAAATCTTTCGACTCATTTCGTTCATTTGAATCAGTAATGCCAAGAGCACAAAGGACCCCCTACCGGCGAACGATGAACTAAAAACTCGAAAGAGTCATGATTCTACGAGCCTTCCGTTCACATGTCATTCATCATAGGGGGCTTATTGGAGCTATAATTTGTGAGTGAGGCTTGTAAACGTGTGCTTTAAACAATGTACATGTGTTGATTGTTAGGCATTGAAATAACATTATCTCTTGATACATTTGAAACGAAGTAGCTGTGGCAGCTACCAGACTAGATTGTACATTTTACTGAATGGGCGTTCATGCAGGAACCAATGGGATGTTCGGGGGCGGCGCGTTTCTGCAGATGCAGGAATGCCCACATGCAAGAACGCCCCGAATAGCGGTCCGCAATCACACAGTATTGAGTTGGTTAGGTTAGCAAAGTGTACTAGCTATTATTAGCTAGCTGTGTGTACTGTTTAGTGATGCATGCGAGAAAATGCACATACTTCCTGCAAGTAATAGCTATCAACGATGTTAGTTAGTAGTAGCAGAAAAAGAAAAAAAACAGGGCGCTAGCTTGGTTAGCCAGCTCCACTTTTTTACATGTCAACACAACATCAACAGCTAGCCTGCGCGCTAGCTACCTTGCTAACACACCAAGCTTGCTAGCTAACGTTACCTAAAGCCCTCATTATTAATGCAAGACATTAGCCAAAACAAATGACATTTTTCACAAACATGAGAGCAATTGTAAACCAAATAATGTTATTGTATAGTTACCAGTGATGCCCCCTCCTTTGCCATGGCCCTTTCTCCTCTGGAGAATGAAGTAGGGGTTCGCCCTTTCGCTCACCCACAGAGCGTTGGCAAGCAACACCTCCTCCGGAGTTATCCACATTTTGGGCGTTTTTAATAAGCTTTTTCCAAATTACGCACTTATTTTAGGATATTATGGTGCAAAGTGTACGCTAAGCGACTTTACACAAGCCTGTTTTGCAGACGTGTTGCCTGCTGTGTTGAGTTCATGTCCGCGGGCCGTCCGTCTGTGCAGCTGGCTGCTCTGTTGTGTCTCCGCCGAAACGGTTTCTACTAGTTACCACAGCCACAATGACAAAATTGTCTATATCGTAAAAATGCATGAAAACAAACATTTGCTTTTTGGTCTTGATTTAACGTTAGTGTTAGCAGTGTTGTAGTTAAAGTTATGTTTAGAATCCAATTTTAAGAAGGGCAATTGTAGAAATGGGCGGGGTTTATGACTTTGTGGCTGGGATAACTAGTGACGACCCTCAAAACTGGTCGCTTTCTACTTTTACGAAAACATGCCCACTGTACGTTCATATCATAGTGTATGTGCACACGATTACACCTTTTAATGGGGGTGATTGACTAATCGGGTGGTAAATTGCATCGCTGCATGACTCACTGCATTAATTTCAATTAAAATGTAATCACAAACCACATTCCCTCCACAGTTTTTATGCGAGTAAAGTCATACCATATAAAAACATTCACGACAGCTCTAATGGAAACAGGCAGTTTCGGTACAACGTTATAAATGCCGACAGATCATTTGTTCGTTCGACATGGTGGGATCTTTTTGTATCGGTGTAATTAATTATGCGACAAATGGTGGTTGAAATGCCTTTATGCGCAAATATTGATATAATAACCATAATCTCTATGTAAACTTGGGAGTCACGCGACCATATTGTGTGTAGTCCTCCCACTATGATTTAGGAAACCATGCAGTGTATTACAGTTCATATAAGGAAATCAGTCAATTGAAATAAATAAATTAGGCCCTAATCTATGGATTTGACATGACTGTGCAGGGGCACAGCCATGGGTGGGCCTGGGAGGGCGTAGGTCCACCACTTGGGAGCCAGGCTCACCCACTGGCGAGCCAGGCCCAGCCAATCACAATGAGTTTTTCCCTACAAAAGAGCTTTATTACAGACAGAAACACTCCTCAGTTTCATCAGCTATCCGGGTGGTTGGTCTCAGACGATCCCGTAGGTGAAGAAGCCGGATGTGGAGATCCTGGGCTGGCGTGGTTACACGTGGTCTGCGGTTGTGAGGCCGGTTGGACATACTGCCAAATTCTCTAAAACGATGTTGGAGGCGGCTTATGGTAGAGAAATTAACATTAAATTATCTGGCAACAGCTCTGGTGGACATTCCTGCAGTCGGCATGCCAATTGTACGCTCCCTCAAAACTTGAGACATCTGTGGCATTGTGTTGAGTAACAAAACTGCACATTTTAGAGTGGCCTTTTGTCCCCAGCACAAGGCGCACCTGTAATGAACATGCTGTTCAATCAGCTTCTTGATATGCAACACCTGTCAGGTGGATGGATTATCTTGGCAAAGGAAAAATGCTCACTAACAAAATTTGAGAGAAATAAGCTTTTTGTGCGTATGGAAATTTCTGGGATCTTTTATTTCAGCTTATGAAACATGAGACCAACACTTTACATGTTGCGTTTATATTTTTGCTGAGTATATTTTTTTAGAAGATCATCTTTGAGAACTAATAATCAACAATAAAAACTAGAGAGAGAAATTACAATTTAAAAAATGTCATGGCCTTTGATTTAATGCCAAAAAATCATGCCCCAAATTCATTATCCCAATGAATGCTCCCTATAGCTAGGTTTCCATCCACTTGGCAACGGATTTTCATGCAAATGTTCTAAAATCCTCAAAATTTGCATTTTCCCACCAGTGGTGTGTTTCCAACAAACGGACTTGTTGCGGATAAAAGTCGGTGCGTGATGACGTAGTGCGCACAAAATGTACTTTTTTAGTTTATGTTTTCATGTAACGATTAAAAATCTAATGTTCAATGTGTTTCTATCGCATTTTCAACTACCGATAGATTTGTCACAAACTGTTGTGTTTAATAGCAAATGTGCCTATTCTGGTCTTGGCATCTGCGCTCTAGCCAACAGCTCCCAGATACAGTGCGGTTAGGCTAGTCTACATGATGAGATTATTATGGATAAGATTGAGAATATTTGTATTTGTCAAACGGCAGTCAAGCACCGATCATCGTGTCACCAGACCCTCTATTTATTGGAAAGGAGCATCAAGCTCATCATGCACTTTCACCACTCTGTGAAGTTCATAATTTATTTAATCTGAATAGATAAATAGAATCTTCTCCAAACTCCAGCTGAAAGGTTCATGACATTGAGCTGTGTTTCAGGAAGAAGCGGCACACATTGGAACGGGGCAACACCATGCATCAACAGGACGTAGGCAATAATGACACTTTTAATGCTGAGGCAGTGCTGTATGTAACACAGTGACCTAAAAACGGACACACTCCCCTCCCCGCGTCACATCATCATCCCAAATAACAGATACAAAGACGATAACACAAGGGGACAACAAGAACAGAGGACAAACCCTTCCACGCAATTCGCTTGTACAAGATTGTGAAAGGAAAACAAACAGTGCTTCAAGAGGCCACTTTAGAGATATAATGTGTATAGATTGTATATACTGTGTGTGTGTATATACACACACACACACTGGGGCTGATTAGTACACGCTGTGGGTATTTCATAGGCTTTTTTAAGTACACGTTAAAATGTTTTTTTTTTTATACAGATACATTGGTTTTGCTACAGGGAAGTAACACTGCTTGTCACAGAGTTCAGAACGTTGCATCACTGCATGTCCATTGTTCCACTGGTCTTATTCTTGCACCAGTCACCATGGTGCATTACACTAGTCTCTGGAGGCAAGGCCATATAGAGGGAGATACAGGGCATGTCTGGACAGGTCCCACCAGTCAAAATGTCCTCTCCACTGTCCTTTAGGCAGCATAGTAAATACAATAGAGCCAACTGGTCCACCAGGGAAGAAACTTTTCCATTGCTGCCTTCACGGAGAAAGAGACCTTTCTTACTGCACGAGAGCCAAAGGAAGCTAAATTAAATGACGGTTTGCTAATCATATATACAGATGTATTGTGGGCTGCACTGACACGTGGTTTATTATTTCTAGCTCATTTCAAATGGAAGATAAGCCGGGATCCTGCAAAGTAAGACTTGAAAGGGTTTATTCCCCACTACCGCATCTAGAAACAGATTTCACAGAGTCAGTTGTTGAAAACAGTTGTTGAAATGAAAGTGTAAAGGAAGGACTTTACTGAATATCTAAACGGGGGGAGAAGAGAGGTCGAGTATCCCCCCTCTTCTTTTTGACAGGCAATAGTACATTCTGCACTGGAAGATAGTATTTGATGTCATCATGTCATTGTCGATGTTCCACAGGTTAGTCAAGGTTGTCATCTAGGTTGTTGTGCCACTCCTAACCCCTCCCCCACACACACACACACACACACACAATGGCTCGCCGGTGTGCAGGAAGGTACAAGGCCATCTGTCCCTTGGTAGGGGGGGGTCGAAACCCCGGCGATGACCCTCACGACTTGTCATCGTAGCGGTCGAGCGATGCCTGGGTGTCAGGTAGCTCCATCTCACAGACCACACTGCGTGGGGACAGGGAGTTCCGGTTAAAGAAGTGGCCACCTGCAAAGAAACATGGGAAGATGTCAATGTCAGTGACACCAAGAAACATGACATTTGCCAGTAAGATACCTATCTAGAAAAGCTGATGCCTAGCACCATAAACAAAGAAAAGGTATTATTTATACTTTATCATTTTGTCTTGGCATCTGTAAACGTTATTGCAGGAGACACTGGGATTGGACACCATCATGGAATTCACAGTTGAGTAATAGTGTGACCGTGGGTGAGGTCAAACTGAACAGTGACATTGAGGCAATTCCATCATAACAGAATGATGCTGTGACTCAGATGTTCCACTTTAAACGTATGCCAAAACAAAAATCAGTGATTGCAAAGTTAAACAAACCATGCATCTCTATGAACAAAGACTACTTTTTACAATTTCCACTGAACATTTTACAAAAACACATTTACTTGAAGAATAGTGCGGATGCAAAGTTTGGTAACAGAATTACCGTTTGTGCTGTTGGTGCCATCATTCTGTTACCAAACTTAACATCTGCACTGTTCTTCAAGTAAATGTTTATGTATGTCTTTTTGGGGGGAAAAAGTGCTAAAAGTCATCATTGTGCATGGAGTTGTATGGTTTGTTTAACTCTGCAAACATTGGTTTTTATTTGGCATACATTTTAAAGTGGAAAAGAGTCTCTGCATCATTCTGTTACTGTGGAATTGCTCATTGTGAATCTTCAATGATCCTCAACATGATATTGTGATGGAACATTTTATGTTTGTACTTTTCTAATAACCAATTTCTGTGTTCTATTCATGTGATTTTCTAATAACCAATGTATGTGTTCATGTAAGTGACTGATTGAACGAACCATCACGATCAGTATCTGCAATTTGGCAGTACATCCAGAACCTTGTTTTGAGAAAGGGATATCTCAGTTTCAAGGTCTCACCTTAGAGAGAAGAAGCCTTGTGAGGTGTTATTGGTCGGTCACATGAATGAAGCAAACATTAATGATGAATTAATTATGAATGATGAATAAGCTAAATCATGCAAATATAACTTGTCTGTCTATAAGAGAACTAACGGGACTGCCCCGGGTGGAGCTCCTGATCGACAAGTGTACTTGGTGCATTGAGTTGGTTGGAAACCTCTCAAGCGCGCTGATAATAAAGCATGATTAATTTAAGATTTATTTCGAGTGTCCCTGTGTAGAACTTCCATGGCAATTTGGCGTCAACGAACAGGATGATTGATTCTGCCTGAATGCTAATGTTAGTGGCTTTCAGATAGCACTTTAATAATGCAATATCTTAGTAATTTCAAGAGGTACAGTGGGGAAAAAAGTATTTAGTCAGCCACCAATTGTGCATGTTCTCCCACTTAAAAAGATGAGAGAGGCCTGCAATTTTCATCATAGGTACACGTCAACTATGACAGACAAAATGAGAAAGAAAAATCCAGAAAATCACATTGTAGGATTTTTTATTAATTTATTTATTATGGTGGAAAATAAGTATTTGGTCAATAACAAAAGTTTCTCAATACTTTGTTATATACCCTTTGTTGGCAATGACACAAGTCAAACGTTTTCTGTAAGTCTTCACAAGGTTTTCACACACTGCTGCTGGTATTTTGGCCCATTCCTCCATGCAGATCTCCTCTAGAGCAGTGATGTTTTGGGGCTGTCGCTGGGCAACACGAACTTTCAACTCCCTCCAAAGATTTTCTATGGGGTTGAGATCTGGAGACTGGCTAGGCCACTCCAGGACCTTGAAATGCTTCTTACGAAGCCACTCCTTTGTTGCCCGGGTGGTGTGTTTGGGATCATTGTCATGCTGAAAGACCCAGCCACGTTTCATCTTCAATGCCCTTGCTGATGGAAGGAGGTTTTCACTCAAAATCTCACGATACATGGCCCCATTCATTCTTTCCTTTACACGGATCAGTCGTCCTGGTCCCTTTGCAGAAAAACAGCCCCAAAGCATGATGTTTCCACCCCCATGCTTCACAGTAGGTATGGTGTTCTTTGGATGCAACTCAGCATTTTTGTCCTCCAAACATGACGAGTTGAGTTTTTACCAAAAAGTTATATTTTGGTTTCATCTGACCATATGACATTCTCCCAATCCTCTTCTGGATCATCCAAATGCACTCTAGCAAACTTCAGACGGGCCTGGACATGTACTGGCTTAAGCAGGGGGACACGTCTTGCACTGCAGGATTTGAGTCCCTGGCGGCGTAGTGTGTTACTGATGGTAGGCTTTGTTACTTTGGTCCCAGCTCTCTGCAGGTCATTCACTAGGTCCCCCCGTGTGGTTCTGGGATTTTTGCTCACCGTTCTTGTGATCATTTTGACCCCACAGGGGTGAGATCTTGCGTGGAGCCCCAGATCGAGGGAGATTATCAGTGGTCTTGTATGTCTTCCATTTCCTAATAATTGCTCCCACAGTTGATTTCTTCAAACCAAGCTGCTTAACTATTGCAGATTCAGTCTTCCCAGCCTGGTGCAGGTCTACAATGTTGTTTCTGGTGTCCTTTGACAGCTCTTTGGTCTTGGCCATAGTGGAGTTTGGAGTGTGACTGTTTGAGGTTGTGGACATGTGTCTTTTATACTGATAACAAGTTCAAACAGGTGCCATTAATACAGGTAACGAGTGGAGGACAGAGGAGCCTCTTAAAGAAGAAGTTACAGGTCTGTGAGAGCCAGAAATCTTGCTTGTTTGTAGGTGACCAAATACTTATTTTCCACCATAATTTGCAAATAAATTCATTAAAAATCCTACAATGTGATTTTCTGTATTTTTCTTTCTCAATTTGTCTGTCATAGTTGACGTGTACCTATGATGAAAATTACAGGCCACTCTCATCTTTTTAAGTGGGAGAACTTTCACAATTGGTGGCTGACTAAATACTTTTTTCCCCCCACTGTAAATGCTATAATACAAGGTCACATGACGAACAGAGGGATTGAGCATTGGTACTGATATTAAATTAGATCCCGCCATCTGGTGTTTGGGTTAGAGATAAGCTTTCTGTGGAACAATAGATAGTCGCCAGTGCTCACTGAACAAAAAACAGGCTGGAAGGGACACAGTAGGGACATTTGGGACAGATGTAAGAATAATTTAAATGACACGTTTTTTGACAATTTCCAATTATTATTACTCAATTCTATAGTTTGGGTAGCACCAGTGATTTAAGTAAGAAGGTAACGTCTAAATCTAAAACAATCTGTTTCCATTATGTGGAACTGCGTCCAGAATTGAAGTAGATCCAAGTAAATGTTTTTAGTACTGAATATTGAGTTGATAAGGCGGCACCAACTTTTTGATGGTCCTAACAGATTTGTTAAGCAACAGGTTTCATATTTTGACTAGTTTATGTCCCAGGGACAGTTTGTACAGAACTGTATGTCAATGCAACAGGTCAAAATGACAATGATTACAAGAGCATTAAACTCGATTAAGTTTATTTTCTTTCTTCCAGGACTGATGGAATGTCCGCTACCAAGTAAAAAAAAAAAAAAAAAAATCAATGATTCTGTATATCTCCCTTTGAAAGGCTTGTTATTGAAACGGTGTACTATACAGTATATTCGTACCCTGATCCAGCTGTTAATAGGAGCTACCAAATTAAGTAAGGCCTGGCCATTTTGTTTGTTTTTACCCTGCAATTTTTACCACACACACGCCAGTACCCACACACAACCCACCTTAATAAGAAATGTGCTGAAAAACCCAATGTAAACCTGATACACAAAATGTTTCAAATATCTTTAAATAATGTCTGAGGTACAGGGAAAAAACACTCAATGGGGTTGAACCTCTGAGCTCTGTTCTGACTTCCTGGTGAGGCCTGATTACCCTCACTAGAAAGACTAGAGACATTGGGTGAGATTTTAAATCGTCTATGTAAACACTAAATAATTACAAGAAGTTTATAATTCATCAATAGTCCTATGTGTGATTCGGAACAAGAGAAGGAGAGAGAGAGAGAGTGCTGCCCCTGAATGAGGGACACCTGTCTCTAGTCTATTTTACCATTACCTTATGGGTTACAATTAAGTTAAGATGGAGTCATCAATGGTTGTAATTCTAATTGTATTAGTTATTTTGATTTAACAGGCAGTGCTACCCAGTATGAAAAATGTATGCACTCACTAAAACTGTAAGTCGCTCTGGATATGAGTGTCTGCTAAATGACTAAAATGTAAATGTAAATGTAAATGTTGTAGTTTTTTTGGGAATTACCGGTCCCCTGGGGCCCTTTGGTAAATATGCAAATTGATTTTCTTCACATGCCTGCCTGTAAAAGGAAAAATATATGTTGGTAATGGCTGCCAGTTACTCCAAATGGATTGAAGTTTTCCCACATTGAGTGATATATGTGTATTGCTGTTATTGTTTTGTTTTGTTTGTTTTTGTCTTGCTTCAATAACAAATCTCACAAGATTGGGTCTGCTGGATGGTCGGGATTTCTCCATAAGGATTAGCCCTCTGACTCCCTGATCCTGTAACTGCAGTGAGATCGCCAAGATGATAGGGGAGTATAAGCCAAAAATAAATACAAATAAAATGGTTTCAACTGTGTGTTGTTATTCTTTTTGACATTTGTCTTAGAAATCTGTATTAACAATATTGGTAGTAGTAGTAGTAGTAATTTGTCATACAGTGAATATTTTGTCATTTGTCATACAGTGAATATTTTGTCTGGATTTCCTGAATCAGAAATGCCCAAAACTATGTTCTGGTCTGTCCTCTCTCGAGGTTATGGCGAAGGTGACCACAGATGGTGTCTAGATGCATGGAAAGGATAATATGACCAAGAACAGTGTGAACCTCAACCCCCCCTAAATGTCTGAAGTAATTGCGACAATGGCTTCACTATGGCCCTTCACCACTTCTACCGTGAGACCTGAGTCCGAGCCAGCAACCTGTACACAGCATCCAGTCGAAGCTATCAACTGCCTTTTCTCTCATGCCTTTTCTCTCAGGAGTGCGACATGAGTCCATGTGGAGTGAGCATGGAGAGAGATCCCGTCCAAACTTCTCTCATACTGCTGGTGTACTGGTAGGAAAATGGACAAGACATAATGGACTATAAAGTACAGTGGCGGCTCAGGTGAGAGACTTTGTCAAGGGCCATCCACTTTGAACATGTGCCATTGGGAAGACGAACTGAAACGCCAGAAGAATGAGTGCCGGGAGGGAGGGGGGTGGTCAACCGTGCCCGTAATTAATTTAGGCTTATCCAAAAAAAATTATTTGGGGTATCAGGTTGATTGTAGAGGTCTGCACACTGCAAAATGTACAGTACTTTAGACTAGAAATGCATTGCGATACCAATCGGTCATTAACAAGCCACTCGCAACAAAAGCTCCAGCTTAAATGTAATTGCCAGAATCCATAAATGAAATTGTGTAATGAAGCATATGTGTAACTGTATGAAGTGAAGGTCTTAAGTTAAAACGTTCTAGTGCAATGTTTTTACAAGTACAACCCAGAATGAAGGGTTTGAAAGTGTCTGTGGTTTTATGCGTTGATTTTGTTGACATATTACTTACTACTTTGATAGTAGATTGTAGCTTTATTACTAATGAAATTAGATTAACTCCTGTTAATAAATTAGAAGTATAACCTTTATTATGATTTCTTATAATGATGTATTTTGATATAGAAGCTCAAATCTAATGCTTACCTTAGAATGTGATAAGAGGATGGAATGTGATGGAAAATGTTATGTTTGTGCTTTTCTAATAACCAACTTCTGTGTTCTATTCATGTGCTTTTCTAATAACCAATTTATGTGTTCATGCAAGTGACTGACTGAACGAATCCTCACGATCAGTATCTGCAATTTGGCAGTACGCCCAGAACCTTGTTTTGAGAAAGGAATACCTCAGTTTCAAGGTCTCAGCTTAATATAATAATAATAATAATAATATGCCATTTAGCAGACGCTTTTATCCAAAGCGACTTACAGTCATGCGTGCATACATTTTTTTGTGTATGGGTGGTCCCGGGGATCGAACCCACTACCTTGGCGTTACAAGCGCCGTGCTCTACCAGCTGAGCTACAGAGGACCACCAGCTTAGAGAGAAGAAGCCTCATGAGGTATTAGTCTGTCACATGCATGACCCAATATTGGTCGGGTACATGAATAAACAAACGCTAATGATGAATTAATTATGAATGATGAATAAGCTAAATCATGCAAATATACAGTACCAGTCAAAAGTTTGGACACACCTACTCAATACAGGGTTTTACTTTATTTTAAAATTGTAGAATAATAGTCATCAAAACTATGAAATAACACATATGGAATTGTTTAACACCAAAAAAAGTGTTAAACAAATCAAAATATATTTAAGATTTTAGATTCTTCAAAGTAGCTGCCCTTTGCCTTGATGACAGCTTTGCACACGCTTGGCATTCTCTCAACCAGATTCATGAGGAATGCTTTTCCAACAGTCTTGAAGGAGTTCCCAAATATGCTGAGCACTTGTTGGCTGCTTTTCCTTCACTCTGCGGTCCAACTCATCCCAAACCATCTCAACTAGGTTGAGGTCGTGTGATTGTGGAGGCCAGGTCATCTGATGCAGCACTCCATCACTCTCCTTCATGGTCAAATAGCCCTTACACAGCCTGGAGGTGTGTTTTGGGTCATTGTCCTGTTGAAAAACAAATGATAGTCCCATTAAGCACAAACCAGATGGGATGGCGTATCGCTGCAGAACGCTATGGTAGCCATGCTGGTTAAGTGTGCCTTGAATTCTAAATAAATCACTGACAGTGTCACCAGCAAAGCACCCCCACACCATCACACCTCCTCCTCCATGCTTCACGGTTGGAACTACATATGCAGAGATTATCCGTTCACCTACTCTGCGTCTCACAAAGACACGCGGTTGGAACCAAATATCTCAAATTTGGACTCATCAGACCAAAGGACAGATTTCCACCGGTCTAATGTCCATTGCTCATGTTTCTTGGCCCAAGCAAGTCTCTTCTTCTCATTGGTGTCCTTTAGTAGTGGTTTCTTTGCAGCAATTCGACCATGAAGGCCAGATTCACGCAGTCTCCTCTGAACAGTTGATGTTGAGATGGGACTGTTACTTGAACTCTGTGAAGCATTTATTTGGGCTGCAATCTGAGGTGCAGTTAACTCTAATGAACTTATCCTCTACAGCAGAGGTAACTCTGGGTATTCCTTTTCTGTGGCGGTCCTCATGAGAGCCAGTTTCATCATTGCGCTTGATGGTTTTTGCGACTGCACTTGAAGAAACGTTCAAAGTTCTTGACATTTTCCGGATTGACTGACCTTCATGTCTTAAAGTAATGATGGACTGTCGTTTATCTTTGCTTATTTGAGCTGTTCTTGCTATAATATGGAATATCTTCTGTATACCACCCCTACCTTGTCACAACACAAGTGATTGGCTCAAATGCATTAAGGAAAGAAATTCCACAAATTAACTTTTAACAAGGCACACCTGTTAATTGAAATGCATTCCAGGTGACTACCTCGTGAAGCTGGTTGAGAGAATGCCAAGAGTGTGCAAAGCTGTCATCAAGGCAAAGGGTGGCTACTTTGAAGAATCTCAAATATAAAATATATTTTGATTTGTTTTACACTTTCTTCCATATGTGTTATGGGGTCCCCGGGTGGAGCTCCTGATCGACATATGTACTTGGTACATTGAATTGGTTGGAACCTCTCCAGCACGCTGATAATATATAATTATTCATTTAAGATTGACTTCGAGTGTCCCTGTGTAAAATTTCCACGACACTATACAACCTCAAGTCAAGAGAGTGATACATGGAAGATCACCCAGACCACCCTTTGAATCATAAAAATCATCAATATCATTCAGGCCAGCCTGAATAAGAGCTAAGCAGAGTTTTGTGGAGGTTGTGACCTGACACCATTCTGGATGTGGGAGGCTAGACCTGTACTGTATCGCTAAGAAATAGTGCCACCTACTGGGGATAGTGTTGCATCACGGACAAATACACTGAGTATACCAAACATTAGGAACACCTTCCTTACATTGAGTTACACCCTCCCCCGCCTTTTGCCCCCAGAACAGCCTCAATTCGTCGGGGCATAGACTCTACAAGGTGTCGAAAGCATTCTACAAGGATGCTGGCCCACTCCAATGCTTCCCACAGTTGTGTCAAGTTGGCTGGATGTCCTTTGGGTGGTGGACTATTCCTGACACACACAGGAAACTGTTGAGCGTTGCAGTTCTTGATACAAACCGGTGTGCCTGGCACCTACTACCTACCATACCCTGTTCAAAGGCACTTAAATCCATGTCTCAATTGTCTCAAGGCTTAAAAATAATTATTTAACCTGTCTCCTCCCTTTCATCTACACTGACTGAAGTGGATTTAACAAGTGACATCAATAAGGGATCATAGCTTTCACCTGGATTCACCTGGTCAGTCTATCATGGAAAGAGCAGGTGTTCCTAATGTTTTGTATTCTTAGTGTATTTTCAAGTTAAGGTCATGGATGAGCAAAGAAGAACATGAGACTTCAACCTTCTGTAGCGAGATGTGTCTGGTTTGGGAGCACAATAATTATTCTGTCTTTCATTAAATATAGAAACACACACATTTACGTCATTTAGCAGACGCTCTTATCCAGAGCGAATTACAGGAGCCATTAGGGTTAAGTGCCTTGCTCAAGGGCACGTAGACAGATTTTTCACCTAGTCGGCCTGGGGATTAGAACCAGCGACCTTTCGGTCACTGGCACAATGCTCTTAACCACTAAGCTACCTGCCGCCCCACACACACACACACACACACACACACACACACAGGGTATTGATTACAAAAGAGAATATAAATCAAAGTACAAGTAAAAAGGAGGGATGGTTTAATGTCTCAAAGCGCTTTGCCCTATTACAACCACTAAAAACAATACAGCCAGGTTCAGCCAGTACAGTAGTAAAAGTTTCCAAATGCAATACAGAAACATATGGCAAAAGAAGGCAACATTGCCATGAGGCTCCGGCAGAGAAAGCGTCTAGAGGGGCAATATGGTGATAATCTTCACTCCTCCCACTCCAGGCTGGAAGAGAAGGAAGAGGAAATTAATGATGTTTAGAAAAGAACGTAGCAGAAGAAAAACAGAGCATTAAAAGGCACGTAGGAACAGAGAAGGGGAATGTAATTGATCTGAACATAAAAAATACTTGTAATCTTTTAAACCATGATGTTCTCTTGTGTAAGGCACTTAGCAGTTTGTCTGAGTGGGGATGGATGGAGGCTTCCGTGTAACTTTATACAGTAGCCCTGTTAGTTTCATTACTTTTCAAACTCTCTCTGTATCAGATACATGCCAGTACCCATGTCAACTGTACTTGACTTCAGTACACATATACTGTACAGTATGAGACAATTGTGCTGTTAAACTATTTCGATTGTTGTTTGCTGCGATCCAAGTTTAGTAAATTAATGGAAATGGAAGTTTGCCACATCTGAATAATAGTCTCAGATTGTTTTGCATCTGTCTGGTCTGTATCCAAACTCCATTGTCTTGGCAATGGTTCAAAGTAGTCTGAGTTGAGCCAATTTTCCAATATCCACAAATCAAGAAGTATAGGACTGAATTCTGGCTTAGTTAAGTAGAAATTAAATAGACAACAATAATCTATGACTCAAGCTTTATCAATAGTCTTCTGGACTATCCACAGTTCAGGACCACATGAAACCAAATCTTGATTGAAATGTAACTAAGGAGTAGAAACATTGAATTTATTTAATTCTGGAAGTGTACGGTGGTACTCACTCAGGGCTGGAGAAGCTGGCTGTGGCCTTGATGATCATGAAGCACAGTGTGAGAGTGCTGAGAAGGCCGAAGCTGCCGATTATAAACCACTCCTCTGTCAATAAAAGGAAAGGGGGGGGGGGGGGGGGGGGGGGTCACTGCAGCCCAACATGCATTGGGTTAAAAACCGACGAGGCCAAACAGGAATACACAAAATATCTTTATTCTCTTTGAAAACCAGCAGTAAAGTCAGGAAAACGAAGAGACGAGGAGATGAAGAGAAGACGTCCTTAAGATCCAGATAAATATCCAGAAGAGGAGAGCCACACGGACAGAGGCAGGAGAAAGGAGAGACATTCACCAGGACAAGCTTGAAGACAGGAGAGAAAGACCTGGAAGCATGGGCATAGCGTAAAGACAGTGGTATGCACACACAGACACACAAGCATGACCTCAACGCACGCACACACACACAAGCACACACACAAAAGCAAAAAAAGACTCACAAACACATCCACACAGCACACGCATCCACATAGCACACGCATCCACACAGCACACACCAACGGCGACAAAAAGAGAAACCGAGGCACATCTAGGTCCATCTATACTGCATTTATAGCACTGACTTAACGTGCAGTCTCTTTAAATTTAGCAAAGTCAAGTAAAACAGTCCACATTGAAAGAGAGCAGGCCGTACACTATAGGAGCCCTTTGAGGTTTACCAGAAATGAGAGGAACCTGGGCCACATGATCAAACAGCAGAAATTGGGTGGATTTATATAAGAAAGGCTTCAATTAATTTATGGAAGTAGGCCTATCCTGAAACAGGTTTAGGTACCAAGAGTTATCTAACAACTCTTATTCACTATTATTCAACTATTATTCCGATTTGGAACTATTCACACGGATTAGCTATTCATTCAAATTGCTGTATGCATTACTGAATTACAATTACTAGCTATAAGTGAAAGAATGGTAAACAAGTAGTAGTATTGTCTTAATAACTGCAGTGCATGTTCTTATTTTTTTGCTGCAGTGCTGTGAAATCACCTTTTTTCCCCTTCATATATAGTTATGCACAGTAAAACAGAGAGTGGTTCAAGAGGTCATCTTAGGTCAGTTGTGCATTTTGCCTTCTCACGGTTGGGGCTAGGATCAGAGTTGGATAGGGATTATGGATTAAACAGACAGTGGCAGCGGGGAGAAGCAGTGTGATTTACAAGAGACAAGTCTCTGGGGGGTGTGTGTGTGTCCAAGGTCAAGGGAAAGTGTGAAAGGAGACTGAAATCTAAATGCAGAGTCATTGTAGAGGATTGCAAACTCACAAGGACAAAGAGAGACAGAGAAAGAGAGAGAGAGAGAGAGAGAGAGGTTGTCGGTGTGATCCTTTTAAAAGTGGTAGTATTTTTGCTGACAGAACAGAACACCCCTAATCTCACTTTTAGTGAAGGGAGGGGTAAAGGGGTATGGAGGGATTTATGATATATCTTTTGAGTGAGTGTGAGTGTGTGTGAGTGAGTGTGCGTGTGTATGTCAAGTCAATAGGGTCTGCAGCTCCAGTTAATCCTTTGGTACTTCAGCTATTTAGTTTAAAACAATTATTATTTTGCCTTTAGTTTAGAGTTTTGCCTTACCTAATTTAAATAGCATAACAAGATAATTTGTTTTCATTGTTTAGAGGTCAATTCCTTTACTAAGTTTGTAAACTATGAAAAGGCTACATTTGATTTATTCCTATGTTCAGACAGAGCTTACATAATAATTATAATAATATACATTTGGTGGATGTTTATATTTGTCCCATTTTACACAGATACAAGTGTGTATTATACACATGTGTGAATTGGACATTTGTTTTTTGCATATCCCAACTCTCCCTGAGACACCCTCGGAGAGTGGGGTTATGGCCAGGGTCTGCCATTATCAACGGTGACCCTGGAGCAATTAGTGTTAAGTGAAGTGCCTTGCTCAAGGGCATATCGGCAGACTTTTCACCTTGCCAGCTCAGGGATTTGAACTAGCGACCTTTCAGTTACTTGCCCAACACGCTAACCACTAGGCTAACTGCCGTCCTGATTTGCAAGGATCAAATAAAACTGTGAGAAACTCTGATTTTATAATGCTGAATGTAACCTTTCATATCAATAAAGTCAATTGAAATAAAACCAAAACTTAAGTTGAAGACAAGAAAGGATGTCCGAGGTGGAAGCTACTTACTGGTGACGGAGATGTTGATCTCTCCGGTGCGGGGGGTGAGCTCTCCGCTCTCTGAGGGGATCTGGGGTCCAGTGCCGGGGTGGCCTTGCTGCAGGGGCTCCAGGCTGATGGACGTCTCACTGGACAGGTCCACCAGGGCCGTCCGCTGGCTTGCCATCGTCTGGCTGCGCCCTATCCTATGGTCCATGTCGAAGCCGACGTTGTCCACGCACGGCAGGTTAGGCTAAAGGGGGGAGGGGGGTAACGACAAGGGTTAGAGGAATGTTATGGCTAGTGGTTAAACACAAGGGTTAGAGGAATGTTATGGCTAGTGGTTAAATACAAGGGTTAGAGGAATGTTATGGCTAGTGGTTAAACACAAGGGTTAGAGGAATGTTATGGCTAGTGGTTAAATACAAGGGTTAGAGGAATGTTATGGCTAGTGGTTAAACACAAGGGTTAGAGGAATGTTATGGCTAGTGGTTAGACACAAGGGTTGGAGGAATGTTATGGCTAGTGGTTAAACGCAAGGGTTTGAGGAATGGTATGGCTAGTGGTTAAACACAAGGGTTGGAGGAATGTTATGGCTAGTGGTTAAACACAAGGGTTGGAGGAATGTTATAGCTAGTGGTTAAACACAAGGGTTGGAGGAATGTTATGGCTAGTGGTTAAACACAAGGGTTGGAGGAATGTTATGGCTAGTGGTTAAACACAAGGGTTGGAGGAATGTTATGGCTAGTGGTTAAAGTCTAATTTGTGTCGTATTAACTTTGGCCAATGTTAGGTCATGCTAGAAAGAACGGAGGCATGGTACGTTTTTGTAACAGCTGGGATTTTCTACATTCTGATCGCTGACCCTGATTTTGACCATGACCTTAACATGAACACTTGACTTCAGAGCAAATAGCTCTTGTAGCAGCTCATCAGATGTGATGATAACACTTTAGTCCTGGTTTGACTAGTTTCTGGTGTCTGAGCAATAGTTCCATAAATTGCCAGCAGGGGGAATACTAGGACTATGGATGAGGTCATATACAGCTGGCATAAACAGATGGTTACGCAATTGCCTGGGCCATGTTCAGTTGCCAAACATTTTTTTACATTGCAGATAGAAATGCCATGAATAGAGCTGATGTGATTCCTTATTCTACATGTCAGAGAGGCATGTTTGTTCTACATAGCCTATTTCTATCTGAACGTTCCAAAACGTTGCATCCTACTGAACGCGCCCCAGGATGAACATGGTCTGTCACAATGATGTGGAGCAGCATGTGAAGGGCAATCTGGGGAAATAATGTCTTAATCTACAACACAAGACAGGTTTTGTTGTATTCTACTGTTAATCAACATAAACATGTAAATGTAGATAATGACAATATATTAAGGCAATCTTTTTCCTCTCATTATTTGGGTCAAGAGTCGTTTGTGAAGTTGATCACAATTTTCTTTATGAGTACTGGCGTTGCCGGATAACATTGGCAAACTGACTTCCAACACATTTCTACTGATAAGGCATTGAGATATTGACTACACTAATACTCACCATGATTCCCAGAGCTTTGAGAATGTTCAGTTTACACATGGGGCAGGTACAGTGCTCATTCAGCCAGGGGTCCACACACAGCTTATGGAAGACATGTCTGTGCAGAGAGAAAGAGAAACAAAGAACACGGTTGAAGAGCAGGAACCCACCTCCACAAACAAGCCCCAAAATGGCCTACATGGGGCTCTTCAAAGTCAGCCTTGGCCCATTTACGTCCTGCGATTGCACAATGTTTGAGCTGACAAGGAGGGCCTGGAGTATGAAAGCGGAAATGGTAACACTTTATATTAAGGTCCCTTAATAAACAATTTATAAGCAGTTTGTAAAGAGTTTACTTACCATTTATGAATCATTATTCCTACATTTGTAAATGTCAATAAGCAATCTCTAAAGTCATGTCTGCATTTATAAACTCTATTTTAATTAAACTGCCTTTCTCGACAGCATGCTAGGCTAGCTTATGCTGAAGATAAGCTAGCCTAGCATGCTGATGAAAAAAATCAGTTTAATTAAATAGTGTTTATAAATAAAATGTATAAATGTTGTCCCCAGGAAGGGTAACTGGTGCTTCAGCAACAGCTAATGGGGATTCTAAAATAAAAAATAATCAAAAGACTCTTAAGAGATTATTGACATTTATAAATGTAGGAACAATGATTCAACAATGGTAAGTAAACTCTTTACAAACTGTTTATAAATGGTTTATTAAGGGACTTCAATACAAAGTGTTACCGAAACAAGTCGCGCTTTACAGACACAGTGATCATTGTGGCGCAACTTGGACAAGGTTTACATTGTCTGTCCGTCATGACAAAAGACAGCCATTGTAGATCTGAGAGAAACTTCATCATGTTTGAAATAGTGGTCTGCTCCCTATTACTATATGATGCCGGACGGCCAGTTTCAATGCACTTCAAAAGGACCATTAGGAACAGATTTACAGTATCTTCTCTTGCCTACCTCATAACATATCACTAACCATAACTGCTTGATGGCTTTATCAAAGGCATGGTGCATTAAACATCCTTATGATGAGCATCCATAAAACAATACAAGGCCCCATTACATTATTGCTAAAGAACAATTCCTTAAGTGCGAGTACCAGCCATGCATAATAGAAAATACTTAGCCGCCAATACCTAAGAACAAACATAAAAGTGCACGTTGATTCTGTTAAGTGCCTGTCTAACATGGCCTGGCATTTCCTGGGCATGTTATGTTCCTTATTGAAGCCCCTTGCAGCGGGGGCACCGGGCCTCTAACACTGCTTTACTTTATTTCAAGGGGGGCACAGAAAACAAGGGCTCCATACATTAATGATGAGTCTGTTAACCATACAATGGCTTGGGGAGAAAGTCAGTGTGCAGTAAGAAGCAGTGCTACAAGAGAGGGACTTTTGGATAAGCTGTGGTTGTAGTGAGACTTGGATAAGTGTGTGTGTGTCAATAAGCTTTGATTGTGTGTGTGTTTGTTTTTTCATTTAATTTTTTTATTTCACCAGGTAAGCCAGTTGAGAACAAGTTCTCATTTACAACTGCGACCTGGCCAAGATAAAGCAAAGCAGTGCAATAAAAACAACAACAGAGTTACATATGGGGTAAAACAAAACATAAAGTCAAAAATACAACAGAAAATATATATACAGTGTGTGCAAATGTAGCAAGTTATGGAGGTAAGGCAATAAATAGGCTATAGTGCAAAAATAATTACAATTAGTATTAACACTGGAATGATAGATGTGCAAGAGATGATGTGCAAATAGAGATACTGGGGTGCAAATGAGCAAAATAAATAACAATATGGGGATGAGGTAGTTGGGTGGGCTAATTTCAGATGGGCTGTGTGTGTGTGTGTGTAACCAGTGTGATAGTGTTTGGGAATGTGTCAAAGGGTGAGCTTGTGTTGTAGTTTGTATGATTGTTTTACAGTGTGAATGTGTGTGTGTATATGTATGCTATAAGTGAGAAACTCCAGTCAGGGAAAGATTCCGCTCAGAGTATTTGCCTGCATCCCAGGATGCACCCTATTCCCTATGTAGTGCACACATTTTGACCAGGCCCATTGGGCTCTGGTCAAATGTAGTGCACTATATAGGGAATAGGGTGCCATATCAAATGCACTCTTTCTTAGAGCAGAGTAAAAACAGAGAAAGAAATGACAGCCGGACAGACACCTATTAGATACTATAACAGATGCCTTCACAGAACAACAACAACATACCAAGATAATTATGTTTGTTGTTCCTGTCTTGGTTGGTATGTTTGGTTTATCCAGATGGCATTTGTTACAGCATCTACAATATTTGTCCACATGCCTACCTGCCTGCCTGTCTATCTGTCCATCCAAGTCTGACCAGGAAATCGTCCCTCCATTGACAAGACACTGTCCTATAGACTGATATTAAATGTAAAGAGACAAATTGAATGGCCGAGGGCAGGTCAAGTGTACTCCATTACTTCAATGCTTTTAGTTATTGATTGGGGATAGCAGCGTGTACTTAAGGGAGGCACCAGAGGGGTTGGTGTTGAGAGATACAGTATGAACACACGTGATCAGGACCGATAAACTCCACTCTACATAAACAGCCCTGTTCACTCCTCCTCTCTCTCTGCCTTTCCCTTGTTTCCTATTGTTTGTCCTCATGTCATCCCTCTCTTTCTTCGTTCTTGCTCTCCCTCTCTTCATTCTCTCTCTCTCCACCAAGTCTGTGTGGATAATCCATGTGTTTGCCATCAGGATCAAGTCTTAGGTTCCGGCTCCTCTACTAAACTACAAACACTACAAGGATGCCAAGAAAATATATTTGTGCATCTTGGTGTCATTGCAGTATGCCCTAAAAACACATATCTGATGAAGGGCACAAACCAAAGGTACATTTTGAACTACTAACATGACCAGTCGACTGCACAGGTTACTTCAAATTAGCCTACCTTTGGATTGCAGACAGAAATGAGCTCTTTAGGTAGCCTAACTCTGACACTTACAGTTCTAGTCAAAAGTTTGGACACACCTACTCATTCTAGGGTTTTTCTTTATTTTTACTATTTTCTACATTGTAGAATAATAGTGAAGACATCAAAACTATGAAATAACACATATGGAATCATGTAATAACCAAAAATGTGTTAACCTCTACAGGATCGGTGTCCCTTATAAGGGATGGTTGCTGCTCAATATGCGATATGTGACTAAAATGGTGTTGTAAACAGACAACTTTCTGGGACATAGACATATCTTATATGGGCAGAAAGCTTAAATTATTGTAATTCTAACTGCATTGTCCAATTTACAGTAGCTATTACAGCAAAAAAAATACCAAAATAGTGCACAACAAAACACTTATCACGGCAACTGGTTTGGTACATTCACCTCTGAAGGTAAATAATGTACTTACATTCAGTAATCTTGATCTGATTTGTAAACCGGGGGGGCCCAGAGATAAAATGTAGTGTAGTTTTGTTTGAAAAATCAATTTTTATATTCGAATGTAGGAACTGGGTTCTACTGTTTGACCTCTGGATCCACACCCACCCCGCCCGGCCATCTAGATGTGACGGTTAGCGTCTTTTCTGTAGGGAAGCTAATGATCCATCTTGTATGACATTCCTGGGAGTGTGCAAACTAAAATGTTGTATTACCATAGCATTTTTTGTATGTTCTCTATAGTTATGTACTTGAAAACCAATTCGGCACATTTGGGAAAACTCCTGGCAGACTTGATACAACATATTGTGTAGTGATGTAATTCTTCACTGAATCAGTCTGAAACTTTGCACACACACTGCTGCCATCTAGTGGACAACATAAATTAAATCTAGAATCCTATATCACTGTCTGGCCTTTCTCTAGCATTTCAAAGATGATGCAACAAAAAATAATAATCGAAAATGCATGTTTTTTGTTTGTATTATCTTTTACCAGATCTAATGTGTTATATTCTCCTACATTAATTTGACATTTCCACAAACTTCAAAGTGTTTCCTTTCAAATTATATCAAGAATATGCATATCCTTGCTTCAGGTCCTGAGCTACAGGCAGTTAGATTTGGGTATGTCATTGTAGGTGAACATTTAAAAAAAGGATCCGATCATTAAGAGGAAAAACAGCTTCTATCTTAAGGCCATCAGACTGTTAAATAGCCATCACTAGCCAATTAACAGGTGTGCCTTGTTAAAAGTTAATTTGTGGAATTTCTTTCCTTCTTAATGCGCTTGAGCCAATAAGTTGTGTTGTGACAAGGTAGGGGTGGAATCCAGAAGATAGCCCTATTTGGTAAAAGACCAAGTCCATATTATGGCAAGAACAGCTCAAATAAGCAAAGAGACATTAACAATTCAAGAACTTTGAAAGTTTCTTCAAGTGCAGTCGCAAAAACCATCAAGCGCTATGATGAAACCGGCTCTCATGAGGACCGCCACAGGAAAGGAAGACCCAGAGTTACCTCTGCTGCAGAGGATAAGTTCATTAGAGTTACCAGCCTCAGAAATTGCAGCCCAAATAAATGCTTCACAGAGTTCAGGTAACAGACACATCTCAACATCAACTGTTCAGAGCAGTCGACAAAGATAAGTGGGAACGGTTGACGGCTCAGCTGCGAAGGGCGGGGCACGCGTAAACAAGATGGCGTATTGAATAGAAATCGGTACAAAACACCTCAAGATAAAAACATAATATTCAAAATCAGTAAGTTAGACTAAATATTAGCATTTCATATATTCGCAGTTAATATAATTCAATCTGGATAATAACAGAAATAAGATCATAAGGCTAGAGAAATATATCGACAAATATTACTACAACAAGCAACACCCAAACATGACTGAAGACAAGCGTGGAGAGCCGATCCCCAAAAGGAAACGCGACTCATCGACAGATACAGATGATATATGCTTTTCACCACTGGGTATGGTAAGTGTGGAAAGCGACCTGTTGAAGTCGATAAATGACAAATTGGGCATATTAGAATTGGTTAGTAAAGACGTAAAAGAGTTGAAAGCGAGTCTTCAAATGAGTGACGAAAAAGCTTTGGTAATGGAGAAAGAAACCAAAGAAATAAAAGTGACAGTCTCTAAAATGGAAACGGACGTTAGGGAATTAAAAAAGGAGAACAATCTTCTGAGAGAAGCTTTACTAGACATCCAAACTAGATCGATGAGGGAAAATCTAGTACTTACGGGTATTCAGGAAAAGGAGGGAGAAATAACAGAGAATATTATGAAGGACTTCCTGCATACAGCGCTACAAATCCCACTCGAGGCTGTCGATAAAATCCAACTCGAACGTGTACATCGTTTCGGAAAAAGAGGACAGAAATATGAGCGCCCAATCGTTGCCAAATTTGCTTTTTTTAAGGACAAAGCTATGGTGAAAAGCCTGGGAAAAAGACTTGCTGGCACGAAAATAGGCATGAATGATCAGTTCCCGAAGGAGATTGTAGAAAGGCGCAAAGTTCTGTATCCAATCTTCAAGGAAAACAGATTAAAAGGGAAACGTGTTGCACTAGTGGTGGATAAAGTATATATTGACAACCAAATGTTCAGAGACACAAAGACTACTCCATGGCTATTCTAAAAGTTGTAATAGAGGAGTCAAATATTGGAGCACCTGATACTAGCAATGATAGGGATTGTAATATTAAATAACATTTATAGTAAGTATAGTATTTTATAAATGGATAAAACGATATAACAAGCAGAATAATACATCTTTATATACAAATAATTAGAACATGGATTTTTTGGCGGGAGGTTGTTGTTTTGGCGGATGGTTGTTGTGGTTGGTCCTGTGTTCTCTCTGGCGTCCTTTCCCCCTTGCAGCAGATGTGGATGCGGGTGCGTTTGCACGCTCTGCCCATTTCTTCCGCAGTCAACCATGTGGTGTGCATTTTTGTGTTTGAAAAGGTGCGGCGTTAAGTGAGTGAGAGGGGAAATGGTTGCATATCCCAGAGCCGACCGGGGGTCTATGAACAGGGGTAGTGAGAGAGAGAGCTTTCAATTTTGTGTAGATGAGGGATATACATTTTTAAATATAGTATACATCTAATCTAATTATTAATTGTCCTATCATGATGGAAAGATCCCTAACCCTATAACCTGGACACCCACCTGAGCGACCCATACACCAAAGAGAAGTTCCCATCTATTTTATGGACCTGCTGTGAATATGCAGCCTAAACAGAGAAATAAATGCGGTCAGAGACCTACTTGAGCAGCACCGCCCCCTCAAGATTCTGAGCCTGCCTGGCAGGGTTGGTCCTACAAAGCCAGAGCCCCCTGATGGGAGAGCATAATATACAAGGAAATTCTCAAAGCTGCTAATGAGAACCTTGACGACCTTTTACCTAGCCGGTGGGGATTCCGGTGGGGTACGCCCACCCAGGTAGTGGCAGTGCTGGCAACACTGGCTGCAGTAACCCATGGGGAGGGGGTCACACTCGGACAATCAGAGAGGGGGTTTATCATTGTGGCCCAGGTGGCACAAAATAATCAAAGGTCTGACCGCATGGAGATGCTTGGGAAAATGGTTACAACAGGGGATCAGAGTGTTTGTGTCTCAGGTGAAGAGGGTGGATCTGATCTCCATCACCTAGGACTTGACATAGATTAAGTAGATTAATCAAATCTCACATTGTTATCAATTTCTGCTCAATCTGCATGCTTTCTCAATCAGCTTTAACTGTATGTGCACTCGTAGATCAAGTTATTTCTCGAGTTGGGCTCTGGGATATAACAGCCGTTGAGTATCGGATTTTATGGTGGATTGTGGGGGAGGGGGGTTGAGTGTGTTGGAGTATGTGAGTATGTGCATGTGTGCTTGTCTGGCATCTGTTGTGGGGGGGGGGGGGGTATGGGATGGACCGCGGGAATTATTTGCTAGGATAATAATTGCTTGTCAATGAATTAAATGTAATACAATGGCAATCCTGGTTATATGTTAGAATCCTATGCGTGAACTGCCGACATTATTACGCATATTAATTGATAATGATGGAAAATAGGATATGCATAATAAAAAAAATAATAATAGTTATATAGATATATATATATAGAGGTGAAAGCATTGGAAATGCTTTTGGCGGTTAACCTGCTTCTGTTTTGTGGGTGGCACTGTGTGCTGTTTTCGATGGATGGGTCCTGGCCTCTCGGGGCCTTAGGGATACGGAGGGACGTGGGTGGGATGCTGATCACTGGGATGACGGCTCAACTTGGGATGGGGAGGGGCTTTAGCGGGGGAATTAGTGGAGAACAATTGAAGGGTTACTCCGTAGCAATGCAAATATCACGGTACAGCTATATGGACACTCAATCATTACGCTATTTTTTATTGGTAAATTTACAAACATATATAATGATAAATAGACTTGAAACTTGTATCTCATTATGGTGTATGGTGAAATAAGTATAGCCAGTTATAATTGTAATGGCTTAGCTGATAATAACAAAAGAAGAACAATATTTACATGGCTCAAAGAGAAGGAATATAATATCTATTGTATACAAGAAACTCATTCAACAATTCGAGATGAAGTAGCGTGGAAAAAAGAATGGGGGGGGGAAATATACTTCTCCCATGGGCAAAGAAATTCAAAAGGGGTGATGATATTAATTAATAGTAATTTCGATCCGAATGTGCAAATTGTCCAAATAGATACGCAAGGTAGATGGATTATTTTAAATATGGTATTGGACCATAAACAGATATGGCTCATTAACCTTTACGGACCAAATAATGATGATCCACAATTCTTTGACAATATATATAATAAATTATCAAGCCTGCAAGCAACTCAAGACAATATTATTATGGTGGGGGATTATAATACTGTTTTAAATAGCTCAATGGACCGAAAAGGAAATCACACCACAAACAATCACCCACATGCTCTTAAGGAAATTGTGAATGTCATGGATACATTAGAACTAGTAGATATATGGAGGCTTAAATATGCTGATCTAGTGAGATATACATGGCGGAGACTGAATCAAGCTAGTCGTCTTGACTTCTTTCTTATCTCATTCTCGTTGGCACCAAAAGTAAAAAAAGTGTTGATAGGGGACAGAATGCGGTCGGACCATCATATAATAGGCATATACATTACTCTGACTGAATTTCCACGTGGGCGAGGATATTGGAAATGTAATCAAAGCCTATTAGATGATAACTTATTTATAATTAGAACAAAGGAATTTATAACTGACTTTTTCCAACATAACATAGGTACAGCGAATCCCCTTATTGTATGGGACACCTTTAAATGTGCCTTTAGAGGCCATGCAATTCAGTACTCATCTCGAAAACAAAAGCAATTTAGGTCAAAAGAGTTTATACTAAGAAAGGAAATAGAAAGTCTAACAGAACAGATAGATGGCAATAAAAACGGTAACATAGAGGCTCAGAATAAATTAGAGGAAAAACTAAAAGAAATGGAAAAACTTATTCAAGAAAGATCAAGTGTAATATATTATAAAAATAAAGCAAACTGGATGGAATATGGGGAAAAATGCACAAAATTCTTTTTTAATCTTCAACATAGGAATGCTACCAAAAAGAACTTAATGAAACTGGTTACAATTGACGGAGTCACCCATAATTCACCTAATGATATTTTGAAGGAAGAAACAAAGTATTTTAAGCATATGTTTTCTTTTCAGTCGCCTCCATCTCCTCTAACTGAAGCTAATTGTAGAGATTTTTTTTCTATTGATAATGTCAAATTAACAGCCACACAGAAAGACTCATGTGAAGGTGAAATTACAGAGGAGGAACTTCTGGATGCAATTAAAGACTTTAAGTCCGGGAAAACTCCAGGGTTGGATGGCATACCAATCGAGGTATACCAAACCTTTTTTAATATACTAAGAGGACCGTTATTAGCATGTTTTAACCACTCCTATGTAAATGGTAGATTATCTGACACTCAAGAAGAAGGTCTGATCTCATTATTACTGAAACAGGATACAAGTGGAAAATATAAAGATCCAGTCCATTTACAAAATTGGAGGCCACTTACACTTCAGTGTTGTGATGCAAAAATCCTAGCAAAATGTATAGCGCATAGAATTAAAAAGGTATTGTCGGATATTATTCATTCTAATCAGACAGGTTTTTTACATGGAAGATACATTGGAGATAATATAAGGCAAGTATTGGAAACAATAGAACACTATGGAAAATATGGGAAACCAGGCCTGCTATTCATAGCAGACTTCGAAAAGGCATTTGATAAAGTTTGACTGGAATTTATATATAAATGCCTGGAGCATTTCAATTTTGGAGAATCTCTTATAAAATGGGTCAAAATCATGTATAGTAACCCTAGGTGTAAAATAGTAAATAATGGCTATTTCTCAGAAAGTTTTAAACTGTCAAGAGGAGTGAAACAAGGTTGTCCACTATCGGCATATCTATTTATTGTGGCCATCGAGATGTTAGCTATTAAAATCAGATCCAATAATAATATCAGAGGATTAGAAATACAGGGCTTAAAAACAAAGGTGTCATTGTACGCAGATGATTCATGTTTTCTTTTAGATCCACAACTAGAATCCCTCCACAGCCTCATAGAGGATCTAGATACATTTTCTAACCTCTCTGGATTAAAACCAAATTATGACAAATGTACTATATTACGTATTGGATCACTAAAAAATACAATTTTTACATTACCATGTAGTTTACCAATAAAATGGTCTGATGGTGATGTAGATATACTCGGAATACATATCCCAAAGGAAATAAATGATCTCACTTCAATAAATTTTAATAGAAAGTTAGCAAAAATAGATAAGATCTTACTACCATGGAAAGGAAAATACCTGTCAATTTGTGGAAAAATCACCCTGATTAACTCTTTAGTATTATCCCAGTTTACCTATTTGCTTATGGTCTTGCCTACGCCTAGCAAACAGTTTTTTAAATTATATGAGAAAAAAATATTCAATTTTATTTGGAACGGCAAGCCAGACAAAATTAAAAGAGCATATTTATATAATGAATATGAATTCGGAGGACAGAAATTATTAAATATTAAAGCATTAGACCTATCACTAAAATCTTCAGTCATCCAAAAGTTATACTTAAATCCGAACTGGTTCTCAAGCAAATTAGTAAGATTGTCTCACCCACTGTTCAAGAAAGGCCTTTTTCCCTTTATTCAGATTACAACCTCTCACTTCTTTCAGTTATTTGAAAAGGAAATAATCTCCCAAATGTCACTATTTCTAAAACAAGCCATAGAAAGTTGGTTGCAATTTCAATTTAATCCTCCAGAAACGACAGAACAAATAATGCAACAAATATTGTGGTTAAATTCAAATATACTAATTGACAAAAAACCTTTATTTTTTGACAGAATGTTTAAAAAAGGTATAATCTTCGTAAATGATATCATCGGTAGGACTGGTGGAGTTATGTCGCACATGCAGCTAACAAAAACATATGGAAATGTCTGCTCTACCCAAAATTACAACCAAATAATTGCAGCCTTACCGCAAAAGTGGAAGAGGAAAGTTGAAGGGGGAGAAAGTAAGGAACTTGTCTGTCGGCCTTGCATTAAAGAACATAATTGGTTAAGGAAAACTGTGATAAATAAAAAAGTATATCAGTTTCACTTAAGGACCAAAGGATTGACAGCCGTCCCATATAGATTGCAAAATAGTTGGGAAGAGATCTTTGACGTACCGATCCCATGGCATAGTGTTTATGAACTGACACGCAAAACGACACCGGATTCAAAAATTAGAATCTTTCAATTTAAATTATTATATAAAATTCTTGCTACCAATAGAATGTTATTTATATGGGGGATACAATCTTCCCAGCTCTGCAGATTTTGCTGTGAAGAGATAGAATCATTAGATCATTTGTTTTGGTTCTGTCCATTTGTAGCTTGTTTTTGGACACAGGTCCAGGAATGGCTAAAGGATTGCAATATTTACCTGGAACTAACCTTGCAGATAGCATTACTGGGTGATCTGAAAAGTCATAGTCAATCAATCAATAATATAATAATACTTTTAGCAAAAATGTTTATTTTTAATTCACAATCTGTAGAAGCAATGAGAATAGAAAGGTTCAGAACTTTTGTAAAACATCACAGTACGGTTGAAATATATATGGCAAATAGAAATCCTATATGGATGGTGTTAAGAGATAGATGGGAGGTATTGAATAGAGTTGAAGGATGGGACTAATAACAAATAACAACAAATAATAACAAAGATAGCTAATAATGTAAGCATACTGTGTCCATAATAAGTATATAGGTTGTATGTTGGGAGCTTTTGGGAAAGAGCACAGTTAGAAAGATATGGCATTTAGAAGCAAACCGGATGGACATCATGAAAATGATCGGAGAGGTTGAGAGTAGAAGAAGTTCAGGAGCAAAAAAATAAATAAATATATATATATATAATTATTGTAAAATTAACTCTGTCCATAAGGTGTAGATAGTAAGTATAGACCGGAAGTAGAGGCCTGGGCGTTGTTGTTCACTAATTTACTCCAAGTAGGGAAAGGATGGTGGGGTTGAAAAGTAATAAAGGGGAATATATATATAAAAAATAAAAATAAACATGGGGGATTGGAAGTGATGCAGACAATTACATTGATAGAAGATACAATCTATATTCAATATTAAGCTGATCCATCCCCCCAATAATAATAAAAAATAAAAAAATAAAAATAAAATAAAACTGCACCTCAGTTTGCAGCCAAAATAAATGCTTCACAGAGTTCAAGTAACAGACACATCTGAACATCAACTGTTCAGAGGAGACTGCGTGAATCAGGCCTTCATGGTCGAATTGCTGCAAAGAAACCACTACTAAAGGACACCAATGAGAAGAAGAGACTTGCTTGGGCCAAGAAACACGAGCAATGGACATTAGACCGGTGGAAATCTGTCCTTTGGTTTGATGAGTCCAAATTTGTGATGTTTGGTTCCAACCGCCGTGTCCAACCGCCGTGTCTTTGTGAGACGCAGAGTAGGTGAACGGAAGATCTCTGCATGTGTGGTTCCCACCATGAAGCATGGAGGAGGTGGTGTTATGGTGCTTAGCTGGTGACACTGTCTGTGATTTATTTAGAATTCAAGGCACACTTAACCAGCATGGCTACCACAGCATTCTGCAGTGATATGCCATCCCATCAGGTTTGCAATAGTGGGACTATCATTTGTTTTTCAACAGGACAATGACCCAACACACCTCCAGGCTGTGTAAGGGCTATTTGACCAAGAAGGAGAGTGATGGAGTGCTGCATCAGATGACCTGGCCTCCACAATCACCCGACCTCAACCCAACTGAGATGGTTTGTGATGAGTTGGACAGCAGTGTGAAGAAAAAGCAGCCAACAAGTGCTCAGCATATGTGGGAACTCCTTCAAGACTGTTGGAAAAGCATTCCTCATGAAGCTGGTTGAGAGAATGCCAAGAGAGTGCAAAGCTGTCATCAAGGCAAAGGGTGGCTACTTAGAAAAATCTAAAATCTATGTTGATTTGTTTAACACTTTTTTGGTTACTACATGATTCCATATGTGTTCTTTCATTGTTGTGATGTCTTCACTATTATTCTACAATGTAGAAAATAGTCAAAATAAAGAAAAACCCTTGAATGAGTAGGTGTTTCCAAACTTTTGACAGGTACTGTATGTAGGCAGTAGTTGTGAGATGATGATTGCCGTGCATTGCATTGTGTGTCTTTTACCTAATTAAATAATAGCAGGTTGAGGCCTGAGGCAAAAAAACACTTCATGTTTAAAATCAGTTGCAACGATGTCAAATCAAATCATTTTATTGATCGCGTACACATATTTTGCTTAAGTTATCACAGATGCAGCGAAACGCTTATGTTCTAGCTTTAACAGTGCAGTAATACCAAACAATACAAAACAACACATACAAATAAACAAACAAACAAAAATTAAGAAATTAAGAAATATCAGAACGAGCAATGTCAGAGTTCGGAATACAAATATATATGTATATGATGGTGTGTATAGACATTATGGACAATATATGAATAGAAAAGGTGTGTACAGCTGTAGCTATATAGGAGGAGCATTGACTAGAATACAGTATATACATATGAAGTGGGTGAAACAGTATGTAAACATTATTAAAGTGACCAGTGTTCAATGACTCTGTACACAGGGTAGCAGTCTCTAAGGTGCAGGGTAGAGTACCGGGTGGTAGCCGGCTAGTAACAGTGACTAAGTTCAGGGCAGTGTACTGGGCAGAGGCCGGCTGGTGATGAATGTTTAACAGTCTGATGGCCTGGAGATAGAAGCTGTTTTTCGGTCTCTCGGTCCCAGCTTTGATGCACCTGTATGTACTGTCTCTGCCTTCTAGATGGTAGCGGAGTGAACAGGTCATGGCTCGGGTGGCTGAGGTCCTTGATGATCTTATTGGCCTTCCTGTGACACCGGGTGCTGTAGATGTCCTGGAGGGAAGGCAGTGTGCCCCAAGTGATGTGTTGAGCTGACTGGACCACATCTGGAGAGCCCTGCTCAGACATTTCAAACTGTTCAACTTCCTTTAACACTAGCTAGCGATTTTGAAACATGCCGACTATCAGCACATCCACACCTTCTGTGAGGATGAGGACATACTGTACGTGAAGTCTTGCCCTTTCTGCCTCATAGGACCTGTTCTTCACTTCCCCTTCTCCCAGCCCCTCTGATTGCTCCTCTTTGACAGAGACTGGATAAGCAGGATGGATGGAGAGCATTAATGGTAGATGACCAGTTCAGTCCTGGACTGCGTTTACATTTATGATATCTGATCTGGACTGAGCTGGTCTGGTCTGGACTGAAGAAGGAGTGGGTACATTGTCCTTGTGTCAGTTGGGCCAAACTAAACATTTATATTTGAGTAATTTAGCAGTCACTCTTATTCAGAGCGACTTACAGTAGTGCATTCATTTTAAGATAGCTAGGTGGGACAACCACATATCAAATCAAATTGTATTTGTCACATGCGCCAAATACAACAGGTGTAGACCTTACCGTAAAATGCTTACTTACAAGCCCTTAACCAACAATGCAGTTTTAAGAAAAATAAGTGTTAAGTAAAAAAAAAATAAGCAGCAGTAAAATAACAGTAGCGAGGCTATAAACAGGGGGTAACGGTACAGAGTCAATGTGGGGGGGCACCTGTTCGTCGAGGTAATTGAGGTTATATGTACATGTAGGTAGATTTAAAGTGACTATGCATAGATAATAAACAGAGAGTAGCAGCAGCGTAAAAGAGGGGGGGGGGGGGGGGGGGGGGGGGCGGACGGACGGACGGACAATGCAAATAGTTTGGGTAGCCATTTAAATTAGCTGTTCAGGAGTCTTATGGCTTGGGGGTAGAAGCTGTTAAGAAGCCTTTTGGACATAGACTTGGCGCTCCGGTACCGCTTGCCGTGCGGTAGCAGAGAGAACAGTCTATGACTAGGGTGGCTGGAGTCTGACAATTCTTTTAGCCTTCCTCTGACACCGCCTGGTATAGAGGTCCTGGATGGCAGGAAGCTTGGCCCCAGTGATGTACTGGGCCGTACGCACTACCCTCTGTAGTGCCTTGCGGTCGGAGGCCGAACAGTTGCCATACCAGGCAGTGAAGCAACCAGTAAGGATGCTCTCGATGGTGCAGCTGTAGAACTTTTTGAGGATCTGGCCAAATCTTTTCAGCCTTCTGAGCGGGAATAGGCTTTGTCGTGCCTTCTTCACGACTGTCTTGTTGTGTTTGGACCATGATAGTTTGTTGGTGATGTGGACACCAAGGAACTTGAAGCTCTCAACCTGCTCTACTACAGCCCCGTCGATGAGAATGGGGGCGTGCTCTGTCCTCTTTTTCCTGTAGTCCACAATCATCTCCTTTGTCTTGATCATTTTGAGGGAGAGGTTGTTATCCTGGCACCACATGGCCAGGTCTCTGACCTCCTCTCGATAGGCTGTCTCATCATTGTCAGTGATCAGGCCTACCACTGTTGTGTCGTCGGCAAACTTAATGATGGTGTTGGAGTCGTGCCTGGCCATGCAGTCATGGGTGAACAGGGAGTACAGGAGGGGACTGAGCACGCACCCCTGAGGGGCCCCCGTGTTGAGGATCAGCGTGGCAGATGTGTTGTTACCTACCCTTACCACCTGGAGGTGGCCCATCATGTCCAGGATCCAGTTGCAGAGGGAGGTGTTTAGTCCCAGGGTCCTTAGCCTAGTGATGAGCTTTGAGGGCACTATGGTGTTGAACGCTGAGCTGTAGTCAATGAATAGCATTCTCACGTACAGTTGAAGTTGGAAGTTTACATACACTTAGGTTGGAGTCATTAAAACTTGTTTTTCAACCACTTCACACATTTCTTGGTAACAAACTATAGTTTTGGCAAGTCGGTTAGGTCATCTACTTTGTGCATTTTTCTAACAATTGTTTACAGACAGATTATTTCACTTATAATTCACTGTATCACAATTCCAGTGGGTCAGAAGTTTACATACACTAAGTTGACTGTGCCTTTAAACAGCTTGGAAAATTCCAGAAAATGATGTCATGGCTTTAGAAGCTTCTGATAGGCTAATTGACATCATTTGAGTCAATTGGAGGTGTACCTGTGGATGTATTTCAAGGCCTACCTTCAAACTCAGTGCCTCTTTGCTTGACATCATGGGAAAATCAAAAGAAATAAGCCAAGACCTCAGAAAAAGAATTGTAGACTTCCACAAGTCTAGTTCAACCTTGGGAGCAATTTCCAAATGCCTGAAGTTACCACGTTCATCTGTACAAACAATAGTACGGAAGTATAAACACCATGGGACCACACAGCTGTCATACCGCTCAGGAAGGAGACTCGTTCTGTCTCCTAGAGATGAACATACTTTGGTGCGAAAAGTGCAAATCAATCCCAGAACAACAGCAAAGGACCTTGTGAAGATGCTGGAGGAAACAGGTACAAAAGTATCTATATCCACAGTAAAACGAGTCCTATATCGACATAACCTGAAAGGCCGCTCAGCAAGGATGAAGCCACTGCTCCAAAACCGCCATAAAAAAGGCAGACTACGATTTGCAACTGCACATGGGGACAAAGAGCGTACTTTTTGGAGAAATGTCCTCTGATCTGATGAAACAAAATAGAACTGTTTGGCCATAATGACCATCGTTATGTTTGGAGGAAAAAGGGGGCTGCTTGCAAGCAGAAGAACACCATCCCAACCGTGAAGCACGGGGGTGGCAGCATCATGCTGTGGGGGTGCTTTGCTGCAGGAGGGTCTGGTGCACTTCAGAAAATACATGGCATCATGAGGAAGGAAAATGATGTGGATATATTGAAGCAACATCTCAAGACATCAGTCAGGAAGTTAAAGCTTGGTTGCAAATGGGTCTTCCAAATGGACAATGACCCCAAGCATACTTCCACAGTTGTGGCAAAATGGCTTAAGGACAACAAAGTCAAGGTATTGGAGTGGCCATCACAAAGCCCTGACCTCAACCTATAGAAAATGTGTGGGCAGAACTGAAAAAGCGTGTGCGAGCAAGGAGGCCTACAAACCTGACTCCGTTACACCAGCTCTGTCAGGAGGAATGGGCCAAAATTCACCCAACTTATTATGGGAAGCTTGTGGAAGGCTACCCGAAATGTTTGACCCAAGTTAAGCAATTTAAAGGCAATGCTACCAAATACTAATTGAGTGTATGTAAACTTCTTACCCACTGGGAATGTGATGAAAGAAATAAAAGCTGAAAGAAATAATTCTCTCTACAATTATTTCAAATTCTTAAAATAAAGTGGTGATCCTAACTGACCTAAGACAGGGAATTTTTACTAGGATTAAATGTCAGGAATTGTGAAAAACTTTGTATTTGGCTAAGGTGTATGTAAACTTCCGACTTCAACTGTAGGTGTTCCTTTTGTCCAGGTGGGAAAGGGCAGTGTGGAATGCAACAGAGATTGCATCATCTGTGGATCTGTTGGGGCTGTATGCAAATTGGAGTGGGTCTAGGGTTTCTGGGATAATGGTGTTGATGTGAGCCATGACCAGCCTTTCAAAGCACTTCATGGCTACAAGTCATTTAGGCAGGTTACCTTAGAGTTCTTGGCCAAGGGACTATGGTGGTCTGCTTGAAACATGTTGGTATTACAGACTCAGTCAGGGACATGTTGAAAATGTCAGTGAAGACACTTGCCAGTTGATCAGCGCATGCTCAGAGTACACGTCCTGGTGAATGTTGACCTGTTTAAAAGGTCTTACTCACATTGGCTACGGAGAGCGTGATCACACAGTCGTCCGGAACAGCTGATGCTCTCATGCATGCTTCAGTGTTGTTTGCCTCGAAGCGAGCGTAGAAGTAATTTAGTTTGTCTGGTAGGCTCATGTCACTGGACAGCTCGATGCTGTGCTTCCCTTTGTAGTTTGTAATAGTTTGCAAGCCCTTCCACATCCGACGAGCATCGGAGCATGTGTAGTACGATTCAATCTTAGTCCTGTATTGACGCTTTTCCTGTTTGATGGTTCGTCGGAAGGCATAGCGGGATTTCTTATAAGTGTCCGGGTTAGAGTCCCGCTCCTTGAGCTCAGTGCGGATGTTGCCTGTAATCCATGGCTTCTGATTGGGGTGTGTACGTATGGTCACTGTGGGGACGACGTCATCGATGCACTTATTGATGAAGCCAGTGACTGATGTGGTGTACTCCTCAATGCCATCGGAAGAATCCCAGAACATATTCAAGTCTGTGCTAGCAAAACAGTCCTGTAGCTTAGCATCTGCATATCTGACCACTTATTTATTGACTGAGTCACTGTAGCTTCCTGCTTTAGTTTTTGCTTGTAAGCAGGAATTTGCCAAATGGAGGGCGAGGGAGAGCTTTGTACGCGTCTCTGTGTGTGGAGTAAAGGTGGCCTAGAGTTTTTTCCCTCTGTTTGCACATTTAACATGCTGGCAGAAATTAGGTAAGACGGATTTAAGTTCCCTGCATTAAAGTCCCCGGCCACTAGGAGCGCCGCCTCTGGATGAGCGTTTTCCTGTTTGCTTATACAGCTCATTGAGTGCGGTCTTAGTGCCAGCATCGATTTGTGGTGGTAAATAGACAGCTACGAAAAATATAGATGAAAACTCTTGGTAAATAGTGTGGTCTACAGCTTATCATGAGATACTCTACCTCAGGCGAGCAAAACCTATAGACTTCCTTAATATTAGATTTTGTGCACCAGCTGTTGTTTACAAATATACACAGACCGCCACCCCTTATCTTACCGGAGGCAGCTGTTCTATCTTGCCGATGCAGCGTATATCCCGCCAGCTGTATGTTGTCCATGCTGTCGTTTAGCCATTAACTCGTGAAACATAAGATTTTACCGTTTTTAATGTCCCGTTGGCAGGATATCCGTGATCGTAGTTAGTGTATTTTGTTATCCAATGATTGTACGTTGGCTAATACGACTGATGGTAGAGGCAGATGATCTACTTGCAGTCGGATCCGTACAAGGCACCCCGACCTACGTCCCCGATATATCTCTGTCTCTTTCTCATGCGAATGACAGGGATTTGGGCCTTGTCGGGTGTCTGAAGAAAATAATTTGAGTCCAGCTCGTTAAAGAAAAAATATTCGTCCAGTACGCGGTGAGTAATCGCTGTCCTGATATCCAGAAGTTATTTTCGGTCATAAGAGATGGTGGCAGAAACATGATGTACAAAATAAGTTACAAATAACGCAAAAAAACACACACAATAGCACAATTGGTTAGGAGCCCGTAAAACAGCAGCCATCTCCTCCGGCGCCATTATCATAGTAAGTACATTTTTCCTCAATAAAGTAGCTATTAGCAGAGCTAGTAAGTCGTAACCCCATAAACACAGCCCCAATGCGACTACACAGAGATTAGACCGCTGATCTGGCTGAAACTAAAAAATAAAAATAAAAAATAAATAAACTAAAGACCAGCAGTGCATCTCCAAAGTCTAGGAACAATCATCTTCTCTCCTTCATCTGGACTGATCTGCAGTTGCAGGATAGGAAAAAGCAATGTGGTCGGATGTCTACTAGGAATCAGCTTTCCAGTTCTTTCACATAAGTGCAGATGAAGGAAAGGAGGCAAGTAGAGGAGTACTCTCTGGCTGTTCTGACATTTTTTTGACAGAATGATTGACATGTCTTCAGGAGGACACCTTGGGATGACCTCAACAGTGTCCTGCCCTTAGTCCAGCTTCTTACTTCCATCCACAAGGCCATAGAGGACACGGCAGATTGTGTCCAAGAACAAGACTGCCGGACAAGGGCGCAGTGGTGTGTGTGTGTGTGTGTGTGAGTGTGTGAGACAGAAAAAGAGAGAAAGCTTGTGTGTGCCCACTGGACCTATGGCAGTCTCTATGGGGGTGCCACAGGGTTCAATTCTTGGGCCGACTCTTTTCTCTGTGTATATCAATGACGTCGCTCTTGCTGCTGGTGACTCTCAGATCCACCTCTACGCAGACGACACCATTTTGTATACATCTGGCCCTTCATTGGACACTGTGTTAACAAACCTCCAAACGAGCTTCAATGCCATACAACACTCCTTCAGTAGCCTCCAACTGCTCTTAAACACTAGTAAAACTAAATGCATGCTCTTCAACCGAACGCTGCTTGCACCCGCCCACCTGACTAGAATCACTACTCTCGACGGGTCTGACCTAGAGTATGTGGACAACTACAAATACCTAGGTGTCTGGTTAGACTGTAAACTCTCCTTCCAGACTCACATTAAGAATCTCCAATCCAAAGTTAAATCTAGAATCGGTTTCCTATTTCGCAACAAAGCCTCCTTCACTCATGCTGCCAAACATGCCCTCGTAAAACTGACTATCCTACCGATCCTTGACTTCGGCGATGTCATTTACAAAATAGCCTCCAACACTCTACTCAGCAAATTGGATGTAGTCTATCACAGTGCCATCCGTTTTGTCTCCAAAGCCCCATATACTACCCACCACTGTGACCTGTACGCTCTTGTTGGCTGGTCCTCACTACATATTCGTCGCCAAACCCACTGGCTCCAGGCCATCTATAAATCACTGCTAGGCAAATCCCCGCCTTATCTTAGCTCATTGGTCACCATAGCAACACCCACCCGTATTCTGCGCTCCAGCAGGTATATCTCACTAGTCATCCCCAAAGCCAACACCTCCTTTGGCCGCCATTCCTTCCAGTTCTCTGCTGCCAATGACTGGAACAAATTGCAAAAATCTCTGAAGCTGGAGACACTTATCTCCCTCACTAACTTTAAGCATCAGTTGTCAGAGCACCTTACCGATCACTGCACCTGTACACAGCCCATCTGAAATTAGCCCGCCCAACTACCTCATCCCTATATTGTTATTTATTTTGCTCATTTGTACCCCAGTATCTCTATTTGCACATCATCTCTTGCACATCTATCATTCCAGTGTTAATACTAATTGTAATTATTTTGCACTATAGCCTATTTATTGCCTTACCTCCATAACTTGCTACATTTGCACACACTGTATATATATATATATTTATTTCTGTTGTATTTTTGACTTTGTTTTGTTTTACCCCATATGTAACTCTGTGTTGTTGTTTTTATCGCACTGCTTTGCTTGATCTTGGCCAGGTCGCAGTTGTAAATGAGAACTTGTTCTCAACTGGCTTACCTGGTTAAATAAAGGTGAAATAAATAAAAATAAATAAAAACTGCTGCATGCTTATGTGCCTAAGTGTGAGGGAAAAAAGTATTTGATCCCCTGCTGATTTTGTACGTTTGCCCACTGACAAAGACATGATCAGTCTATAATTTTAATGGTAGGTTTATTTGAATAGTGAGAGACAGAATAACAACAACAAAAAATCAAGAAAAACGCATGTAAAAAATGTTATATATTGATTTGCATTTTAATGAGGGAAATAAGTATTTGACCCCTCTGCAAAACATGACTTAGTACTTGGTGGCAAAACCCTTGTTGGCAATCAAAGAGGTCAGACGTTTCTTGTAGTTGGCCACCAGGTTTGCACACATCTCAGGAGGGATTTTGTTCCACTCCTCTTTGCTGATCTTCTCCAAGTCATTAAGGTTTCGAGGCTGACGTTTGGCAACTCAAACCTTCAGCTCCCTCCACAGATTTTCTATGGGATTAAGGTCTGGAGACTGGCTAGGCCACTCCAGGACCTTAATATGCTTCTTCTTGAGCCACTCCATTGTTGCCTTGGCCGTGTGTTTTGGGTCATTGTCATGCTGGAATACCCATCCACGATCCATTTTCAATGCCCTGGCTGAGGGAAGGAGGTTCTCACCCAAGATTTGACGGTACATGGCCCCGTCCATCGTCCCTTTGATGCGGTGAAGTTGTCCTGTCCCCTTCGCAGAAAAACACACCCAAAGCATTATGTTTCCACCTCCATGTTTGACGGTGGGGATGGTGTTCTTTGGGTCATAGGCAGCATTCCTCCTCCTCCAAACACGGCGAGTTGAGTTGATGCCAAAGAGCTCGATTTTGGTCTCATCTGCCCACAACACTTTCACCCAGTTCTCCTCTGAATCATTCAGATGTTCATTGGCAAACTTCAGACGGGCCTGTATATGTGCTTTCTTGAGCAGGGGGACCTTGCGGGCTCTGCAGGATTTCAGTCCTTAACGGCATAGTGTGTTACCAATTGTTTTCTTGGTGACTATGGTCCCAGCTGCCTTGAGATCATTGACAAGATCCTCCAGTGTAGTTCTGGGCTGATTCCTCACCGTTCTCATGATCATTGCAACTCCACGAGGTGAGATCTTGCATGGAGCCCCAGGCTGAGGGAGATTGACAGTTATTTTGTGTTTCTTCCATTTGCGAATAATAGCACCAACTGTTGTCACCTTCTCACCAAGCTGCTTGGCGATGATCTTGTAGCCCATAGCCCATTGTGTACGTCTACAATCTTGTCCCTGACATCCTTGGAGAGCTCTTTGGTCTTGGCCATGGTGGAGAGTTTGGAATCTGATTGATTGATTGCTTCTGTGGACAGGTGTCTTTTATACAGGTAACAAACTGAGATTAGGTGGCGAATCGCATCTCTGCATGTCTGGCAGACATATCAGTATGGATGACGGATCACCACCTCAAGCTGAACCTTGGCAAGACGGAGCTGCTCTTCCTCCCGGGGAAGGACTGCCCGTTCCATGATCTCGCCATCACGGTTGACAACTCTGTTGTGTCCTCCTCCCAGAGTGCGAAGAGCCTTGGCGTGACCCTGGACAACACCCTGTCGTTCTCCGCTAACATCAAGGCGGTGACCCGATCCTGTAGGTTCATGCTCTACAACATTCGGAGAGTACGACCCTGCCTTACACAGGAAGCGGCACAGGTCCTAATCCAGGCACTTGTCATCTCCCGTCTGGATTACTGCAACTCGCTGTTGGCTGGGCTCCCTGCCTGTGCCATTAAACCCCTACAACTCATCCAGAATGCCGCAGCCCGTCTGGTGTTCAATCTTCCCAAGTTCTCTCACGTCACCCCGCTCCTCCGCACACTCCACTGGCTTCCAGTTGAAGCTCGCATCTGTTACAAGACCATGGTGCTTGCCTATGGAGCTGTGAGGGGAACGGCACCTCCGTACCTTCAGGCTCTGATCAGTCCCTACACCCAAACGAGGGCATTGCGTTCATCCACCTCTGGCCTGCTGGCTCCCCTTCCTCTGCGGAAGCATAGTTCCCGCTCAGCCCAGTCAAAACTGTTCGCTGCTCTGGCACCCCAATGGTGGAACAAGCTCCCTCACGACGCCAGGACAGCGGAGTCACTCACCACCTTCCGGAGACATTTGAAACCCCACCTCTTTAAGGAATACCTGGGATAGGATAAAGTAATCCTTCTACCCCCCCCCCCACAAAAAAAAATGGTGAATGCACCAATTTGTAAGTCGCTCTGGATAAGAGCGTCTGCTAAATGACGTAAATGTAAATGTAAAATTAGGAGCACTCCCTTTAAGAGTGTGCTAATCTCAGCTCGTTACCTGTATAAAAGACACCTGGGAGCCAGACATCTTTCTGATTGAGAGGGGGTCAAATACTTATTTCCCTCATTAAAATACAAATGAATTTATAACATTTTTGACATGCCTTTTTCTGGATTTTTTGTTCAAATAATGGTCTCTCACTGTTAAAATAAACCTACCATTAAAATTATAGACGGATCATTTCTTTGTCAGTGGGCAATCGTATAAAATCAGCAGGGGATCAAATACTTTTTCCCCTCACTGTATGTATGTGTGTGTATATATATATATATATATATATATATATATATATATATACACACACATACATACAGTGAGGGGAAAAAGTATTTGATCCCCTGCTGATTTTATACGATTGCCCACTGACAAAGAAATGATCCGTCTATAATTTTAATGGTAGGTTTACACACCCAAAGCATTATGTATGTGTGTGTATATATATATATATATATATATATATATATATATATATATATATATACACACACATACATACATACATATATATACATACATATACACACACACTCCGCAATGTGTGCGCACACACTTAGGCACATAAGCATATATATATATATATGTATATGTGTGTGTGTGTGTGTGTGTGTGTGTGTGTGTGTTTGAGAGTGTGTGTCGGAGGAAGCTGAAGTGTGTGTGTGCAGGTCATTTGGCAGCACTGGATCTAAATATAGCCGGAGCTACCTGGCAGGGGTTACGACTCACAGTGTGCAGCGAGACGAGACAGCCTTGATAGTGTCTGCATTTCCAAAACAGACCAGACTCCATTTAGCTAGAGCACAACTCTCTCTTTTCTCTCTACCTTTGTCACGCTCTCTCCTCCTTTCCTCTACCTCTCTCGCCTTCCCTCCTTCCTGTGCTCGTTATATTTTTTTCCTGTCACGCTTTCAATACCTCCTCTGGTCTGTTACTTTCCGTAACTCCATCTTCCTTTCTCCCTTTCTCCTTTTTCCTGGCAAGAACTTGAATGTCAACTGACTGACATTACATTTTCCACTTCCTTTATAAAGCGTAGTGATCCACTAAACCAACACATGCTGTATGTGTGTCCTACAACTGATCCTAAATCAGATCCAAATGGTCAAACCAGAGATGATTGACAGGTAGTAAAGACACCTCCTACTGTATCAAGGTTTTTATGGATTATGAATTGTCACCTCACCAGCACAAATACAGTATTTACTTTCTACCTTTTCACATTGGTGGTGTGATATATCTAAATATGTGCAAATGAACTATGGCTGAACTGTGGTGGGGCGTGTCTCTGGTCTAGTCTGATGTGCGTCAGTACAGTCGTCCCACTGAGCAAAGCAGCAGGAAAGGTGTGAGACGGATCTGATGGGGGGATGAGGAGGGAGGGAAGGAGGGGCGCCGTGTGACGGATGGGTGTGGAGATTACCACAGACAGGAGAAACTTCAGGGAGGGGTAGAAACGTATGTCAGAGGCGGAAGGAGGGGATGTAAGTGGATGGTGTGACATTGAGGATGAGTGGATGGAGTGTAAGAGGCACAAGGGCTGTGTCAGGCTGTCCCACACTCCTATCTTAGGATGTATATAGGTAACACACACACACACACACCCACACACTCATCCCCCCCAAACACACACACTCACTTGCAGGGCAGGATGCGGACTACGTCGTTGAGCTGGTAGCCCTCGATGCACACGGCGCAGTGGTTGAAGTCCGGGTCTGTTTCCTGCAGCACAGAAGACAAACAGAACAGAACAGTCAGTGTTAGACAGCCACAATGAACAGAAAGCCATTTTTACTGAGGAAGAACAGTGACAAAATCAGACACTTTGCTTTTGACCATTCATATTCACTATCAACCAGATTAATAATAGCTGGTTTGTTCAACAGGCCGAGGTGAAAGCAGTGCCTAACATGGTCAGTGTTTCCTCTTGAATGTTTGTTTGGAGAGACCCTTTAGACATCCTAGAGGGCTGGGACTGAAGGTTTGCTATTTTTGTAGGCAGGTTGACTGCCTATGTAAAATCATGTAATGGTAGGGGAAACATGTTCAGTATACAGAGTACAATTAAGTAGAGTACTCTTGTTGTATCAGCATGTCAGGGATGGAACTGACGGCCACGTTGCCGTGTCAACCAAACCCATCACTGTGACAACAGCCACGACAGGTGGCGGCACATCTGTGACTGACTGACTGTCCTGGCATGTCCATCAGCAAGTGTCATGCTTAAGCATGCCATGGGAGGAAAGAGAGAGGAGAGAGGGAGAGAGAGAGAGAGAGACTAGAGAGCTAGAGAGAGAGAGAGAGAGAGACATGAGAGAGAGAGAGAGAGAGATAGAGAGAGAGATCGGAGATGAGCGATAGAGAGAGCGTATAAGAGTCGAGGAGATAGAGCGAGAGATCGAGAGAGAATCGAGACATCCTGCTCTCATTCGAGAGATTTAGGTGATTGTGCAATTTCAAGCGTTCCCTTGAAGGGGCAAAGGGTCCTGTCGAGGGAGTGAAAGACAGCGATAGATGGGGATGACATTGAAAGCATGACAAGAGAGGTGCAGAGAGCCAAGGAAGGAAGGAAAGAGGGGGTGATGTATTGAAAGAAGGATGGCAGAAAAGAGTGTAATAGAGTGATAAAGAGAAAGAAGAAAATAACAGAGTTTGATAAAGAGAGAGAGAGGGAGAGAAATAATCAATGCTGTGTTATTTATGGAGGGTGGCTAACCGTCTCTGCTGACAGTGGAGAAGCTACCACAGAGGTGCACAAGGACATACGGGTGCACAGCCCCGCCTGGCCGGGGCCTGAATTAGCCTGTGGTGCCGAGCGAGCAGGGAGGGACCGATCGATACGCCAGGAAGAACTGAGAGAACACAGACCTGTCATCTCTCTAGTCATACCCGGGAACACTAGCCTAGTTCGACATGTATGTGCTTTACATAGCTCCACTGACTGTACACAATTACATGGCAACAATAAAGCCCATATAGATATGGGACCAGGAAATGATATGCCAACGATAAAGCCCATATAGATGTGGGACTAGGCAATGACATGCCAACGACAAAGCCCATATAGATGTGGGCCCAGGCAATGGAAAAAACTAACACAAAGGCAGAAGTCATTCTAATAATAATAATAATAATAATAATAATAATAATAATAATAATGTGTGTGTAGCTGATATTTTAATCCAGCGACTTAGAGTATTTTAGGTCCCTGCAGGAATCAAATTGCCAACTTAAAGACTAACATTTTTTTTGCAAGTAGTTATGAAAGTAGCACTCACGATCCAAAACATACCAGTCAAAACTTTGGACACACCTACTCATTCAAGGGTTTTTCTTTTTTTACTATTTTTACATTGTAGAATAATAGTGAAGACATCAAAACTATGAAATACCACATATGGAATCATGTAGTAAACAAGTGTTAAACAAATCAAAATATATTTTATATTAGAGATTCTTCAAATAGCCACCCTTTGCATTGATAATAGCTTTGAACAATCTTGGCATTCTCTCAACCAGCTTCATGAGGAATGCTTTTCCAACAGTCTTGAAGGAGTTCCCACATATGCTGAGCACTTGTTGGCTGCTTTTCCTTCACTCTGCGGTCTAACTCATCCCAAACCATCTCAATTGGGTTGAGGTCGGGTGATTGTGGAGGCCAGGTCATCTGATGCAGCACTCCATCACTCTCCTTCTTGGTCAAATAGCCCTTACACAGCCTGGAGGTGAGTTGGGTCATTGTCCTGTTGAAAAACAAATTATAGTCCCACTAAGCGGAAACCAGATGGGATGGCGTATCGCTGCAGAATGCTGTGGTAGCCATGCTGGTTAAGTGTGCCTTGAATTCTAAATAAATAACAGACACTGTCACCAGCAAAGCACCCCCACACCATAACACCTCCTCCATGCTTCACGGTGGGAACCACATATGCGGAGATCATCCGTTCACCTACTCTGCGTCTCACAAAGACATGTTGGTTGGAACCAAAAATTTCAAATTTGGACTCATCAGACCAAAAGACAGATTCCACCGGTCTAATGGCCGTTGCTCATGTTTCTTGGCCCAATCAGGTCTCTTCTTCTTATTGGAGTCCTTTAGTAGTGGTTTCTTTGCAGCAATTTGACCATGAAGGCCTGATTCACGCAGTCTCCTCTGAACAGTTGATGTTGAGATGTGTCTGTTACTTGAACTCTGTGAAGCATTTATTTGGGCTGCAATTTCTGAGGCTGGTAACTCTAATGAACTTATCTTCTGCAGCAGAGGTAACTCTCGGTCTTCCTTTCCTGTGGCGGTCCTCATGAGAGCTAGTTTCATCATAGTGCTTGATGGTTTTTGCGACTGCACTTGAAGAAACGTTCAAAGTTCTTGAAATTTCCGGATTGACTGACCTTCATGTCTTAAAGTAATGATGGACAATTGTTTCTCTTGGCTTATTTGAGCTGTTCTTGCCATAATATGGACTTGGTCTTTTACCAAATAGGGCTATCTTCTGCATACCACCTCTACCTTCTCACAACACAACTGATTGGCTCAAACGCATTAAGAAGGAAAGAAATTCCATAAATTAACTTTTAACAAAGCACACCTGTTAAATTAAATGCATTCCATGTGACTACCTCGTGAAGCTGGTTGAGAGAATGCCAAGAGTGTGCAAAGCTGTCATCAAGGTAAAGGGTGGCTACTTTGAAGAATCTCATGGTTACTACATGATTCCATATGTGTTATTTCATAGTTTTGATGTCTTCACTATTATTCTACAATTTAGAAAATAGTAAAAGTAAAGAAAAACCCTGGAATGAGTAGGTGTGTCTAAACTTTTGACCAGTACTAAATATATATATATATATATACACACACACAAAGTTTGGGGCCACTTAGAAATATCCTTGTTTTTTGGCCATTAAAATAACATCAAATTGATCAGAAATACAGTGTAGACATTGTTAATGTTGTAAATGGCTATTGTAGCTGGAAATGGCTGATTCTTTATGGAATATCGACATAGGTGTACAGAGGCCCATTATCAGCAACCATCAGTCCTGTGTTCAAATGGCACGTTGTGTTTGCTAATCCAAGTTTATATCATTTTAAAAGGCTAATTGATCATTAGAAAACCCTTTTTGCAATTATGTTAGCACAGCTGAAAACTGTTGTGCTGATTAAAGAAGCAATAAAACTGGCCTTCTTGAGACTAGTTGAGTATCTGGAGCATCAGCAATTGTGGGTTCGATTACAGGCTCAAAATGGCCAGAAACAAATAATTTTCTTCTGAAACTCGTCAGTCTATTCTTGTTCTGAGAAATGAAGGCTATTCCATGCGAGAAATTGCCAAGAAACTGAAGATCTCGTACAACGCTGTGTACTACTCCCTTCACAGAACAGCACACACTGGCTCTAACCAGAATATAAAGAGGCCCCGGTGCACAACTGAGCAAGAGAACAAATACGTTAGAGTGTCTAGTTTGAGAAACAGACGCCTCACAGGTCCTCAACTGGCAGCTTCATGAAATAGGACCCGCAAAACACCATTCTCAACGTCAACAGTGAAGAGGCGACTCCGGGATGCTGACCTAGGCAGAGTTGCAAAGAAAAAGTCCAGTGTCTGTGTTATTTTGCCCATCTTAATCTTTTCTTTTTATTGGCCAGTCTGAGATATTTCTTTGCAAGGTCAGCATCCCGGAGTCGCCTCTTCACTGTTGACGTTGAGACTAGTGTTTTGTGGGTACTATATAATGAAGCTGCCAGTTGAGGACCTGTGAGGCAATTCGTATGACATGTTTCAAATTTGTAAGTGCATTCTTCATACAATATGTTACCAATTTGTAAGTGCTTAATATCCCATTCTCTCTAACTTTGTTCGAACCAACTAAGCCATTAGAGAGGGCCATGCAGCTGGCAAAATTGGAAGAGCAGTGACTAGTACTCCTGGGTTTGGGAGTTCTGGGTATGGGAGTTTTGATCAAGTCTGACCGGTTTTGTAGAACAGATAGTGATCCGTACCAGGTTGCCATGTAGAGATACAGGACAAAAACATAGTACTGAGGCCCATCTGACCTAGTGGGGCGGCAGTCGGGCAGTTTTAAAGACCCTGGGGAGTCCGCTCCCCTTCCTCTCGACCCTGACTTCCTGTCACTGTGAGCGAGGCAGGCTGCTGTAAATGGCTGCCTGATTAAATATGAATGTTTTCCTCTACAGAGGCTGCAGGCACAGAATGAGGCCAAGGCACACGACACAGACCAGGCCCTGTGTGAAATAGGCTTCTGCTCAAATAAAGCAGATCTGTGTCACTAATGGCAGATTTTCATGATGGCAGAATCTGAGCTTTCTAGGGCCCAGGAATGACTGGGGTTGTGGAAGGGCAGAGAAGTGTCACTCACCACCACAAGTCACTTTGCACTATGAGACGAAACTGATGTTTTATCAGTTGGCTACGGATGTGATGAAATAGTCCCTGACGCGGCCTGAATGTGTCCTATGTGGACTGTGATACATGGGTTACGGAGCTGACCAGTGCACTATTGAACGTGGTAAAGTGGACACGGAGTTGATCAGCGTCGGTGTTGACGGACATGGAGTTGACAGAGGCCTGGCCCATGTCCTAGGGACTGGCAAAATACGTGTCGGCACTGACCTTTTAATGTTGGCACTGGTATTTCAATCAATTGATCAATAGTTCTGCCATTTTGATTGAGCTGGACAGTGGTGTTATTGTTGGTCTATGAAGGAAATGGCCCTCCAGCCATTTGTTTAATTAAACTAATGACCTTCATAGCCGTAACAACAGTCCATAGCAGCCGCAACATAGTAGAGATGCAGTGAATGCTGCTACATGCAGGTCTGATACACAGTAGATGTGATGGCTCAATTGGTTGGAGCATGTTGTTCATAACTCCAGAGTTACAGCTTGGATTCCCACATGGGTCCACAAATAGTGAATTTATGTGTTCGCTGTAATGACCATATAAAAGTTGTGTAGATAAGGGAAGGGCAGCCAAACATACTGGCTAGAATGCCTCGTATTGTATCTGGACAGTATCAGGTATCATGTAATTAGCTCTCGACTGCAGCTTATTACGCAAGCAGTCCTTGTCGGCTGTCGACGGTTATGGCAAGAGCTCCCCATTTTGTTACAGCAGGGAAAGAGCTATCACACGGTTGTTGATGTTTCTCTCAAACCCTCCTTCCACTCAGTCATAAGGGCTCTTAAGTCCAAACCCATCAAGCACGGGCAAGGTTAACATAATTTCTTGTCCAGAGGGACATCGTGATAAACTGGTTGTGACACAGTAGTCATCTCCTTCATCACCGTAACAGGCTGTATTATCTACCAAGAGCCTTGACCCCTTAGTGCCTACCTTCTCCCCCCTCCTTCTTATCCTTCTGCTCCCCAATATCCAGGCTCGACATCCGGCTCAGTGCGGTCAATCATTCCCGGCGGACTTCCTCCAGATGGAAGGTTTCAATTTCTGCGGCACACTCCAAGGCCCATGGTTTATTCATGAACGGAGACCTGTCTGACCTTGATGAGGGCTCAGAGGAGAGAGGCCAGACGGAGAGGACCAACCCTCGCTCTCCTCCTCCAAGACCCGTCAGCCCTGACACTCATCTTCACTTGAGACATTCTAAGAACCTCCGTTACACTTCACTAGCGTTTCACTTTTTCAGTCAGATGTGATTTGTACTATTTCTTGCATGTATCAATGTAAGAAATACATCTGGTGTGCTCATAGGAGGATTTAGAAAGGAATTTAATCTTGCGTCTTCGTTTAGTTGTTTTGGTTACTCACGTTGACTACCAACCACATATTCTGGAATATTTGAATAATGAACACAAGCAGAGTTTGTATTTAACATTCACAAGAGTGCAAGACCCCTCAATCAATAAATCAATTCTCTCCTTTGACACATATGGCTTTAGCCATTCTCTGCTTGTCTCCAATTACCTACTAACCCACGTTTGTGCTAAAAGACAGCGTTTAAGCCGACTCTTCCGTCCATCCATACATACACTCATCCATCACCTTTGACGACCTCATCCGGAGCTGTAAACCCTCTGCGAGGTGACAGGCATAAATAAAGAAGAAAGCCTAATACGATAATAAACATCCTTGTATCAGATACTTCAGGGCCACCGTTCCTGGAAGGACTTGATTAGCGAGAGAAACATGGCAGAAGCCATATTACTAATGGTGAACCTTCCACCAACCATTGGTCCAGAAGAGAAGAAGAACCAAGAAAGGAAAGCATAAATGGGTATTGGGAGGAATGTCTTAATTTGTACAGGCAGAAATGTATTTTTCATCTCTTCCTAACATCAGTTAGGCAAGGCTGAATTATGAACCAAGGTCAACTAGACAGGATATTCTCAAATTCTGAAAAGGCTCAATCCCATATCTCTAGACAGGATGTATACATGGTAGTACATGGCAGTAGTGGTAGGACATGGCAGTACATGGTAGTAGTGGTAGTACATGGTAGTACATGGCAGTACATTGTTGAGAAGGTTACTAAGTTGTTGGACAGGGGGTGACATGGACAAGAAAGTAGTGCCGGCAGGTTTACCTTGTCCCCTTTCTTCACTGTCCTGGTTGTCAGCTTCCCTATGGCTTTCTTAGCTGCATCTCCAAGTCGACGCTGGCAGAGAGAGAGAGGGAGAGGAAGGAGGGAGGGAGAGAATATAAAGGTGAATATGGAGAGCAAATGTAGCCTGAGGGTTGAATTAACAATATGAATTAAATATACCTTATTCAGCAAAAATGACTATTCTCAAACTTATTTCCCAAAACTCCATAGTGTACCATTAATATAAGTGATTCAACACATCCTTTTTGCCTTAAACATTTAGAACCAGTGGGGAATTGGAGCAACAGTGCGAAACATTGACTTCCAGCCCAGTCAATCAAAGACATGATTGTTAGGGCGAGTTGTACTGTTAAAATCCCATGAATAATTATATTTAATTTGAATTCCCCTGCCTGTGAGTTTTATAACTTCATGCAGCTCACTCCAACCAACCCCTGATGGTGTCAGAGAAACTAGGGGGTCATAAACTGTCTCCCCAAACTCCCAGTGACATCCGCTACCAGGCCACCAATAGGTTGCTAGGGATGTTGCTAGGAGGCAGGACACGTGACAGTCCTTCTGCCTGCTCAGGTGAGAGCCTCTTCATTCTCTCTCCAAGTGGACAAGAGTGATGGAGTGTGTGGACAGAAGTGAGTGATGTTATTGAAACTTGTGCATTTACTATTTGTTGTTAATATTGCTAGTTGTTGATAGTAGTTGATGCTATGTTATACAGTCCTTTGCTTATGTCACCATCTCCTTATATAGTATATTTTATTTTTGTTCTTGTGCCATTACTCCATTCTCATGATAGGTTTATTATGTACAATATATTCATTCATATCTCTTCTCTGTACAGAACCACATCGATCTCATATTATGTCCTCTGGAAATAAAGTTCTCTATTTGTGTGTAACTCTGTGAGGTTGCCTTATTCCTCTGACCGTGAGAGCTGTCAGTGAATCACAGACCAGTCCAACTGCAGTGCCGCTCTCTTTCAGAGTTGATCTTTGGACATTTAAACCAAGGGCAGAATAAGGTGCCAATGAGCAAGGCTTCAATACATTGGGACAATGTCAAAAGACCTAGAGCCAGAATCATAAGCATTTTGCATTTATGCAGCATTTTACACTTGAATAACTGGAACATTTTCCATGAAAGGTCACATAAAGGGCACAAAGAAACAAACCATTCTGTCTCATCTTTAAGGCATGGTTCTTCACGTCTGTAATTCCCGTCTGAGAAAATAAGTGGCACAATCTTTGCACAGATGCCGAAGACGTCAGGGTCTAACTGTAGCTATGTAGTCACAGTGTGGAGAGAGCATGGTCTAACTGTAGCTATGTAGTCACAGTGTGGAGACAGCAGGGTCTAACTGTAGCTATGTAGTCACAGTGTGGAGAGAGCAGGGTCTAACTGTAGGTAAGTAGTCACAGTGTGGAGAGAGCAGGGACTAACTGTAGGTATGTAGTCACAGTGTGGAGAGAGCAGGGTCTAACTGTAGGTATGTAGTCACAGTGTGGAGAGAGCAGGGTCTAACTGTAGGTATGTAGTCACAGTGTGGAGAGAGCAGAGTCTAACTGTAGGTAAGTAGTCACAGTGTGGAGAGAGCAGGGACTAACTGTAGGTATGTAGTCACAGTGTGGAGAGAGATTGACATTTGTAAAGCACCTCTGTTGCTGAAGGAAAAGCACTTGTTCAGTGTCTTTCCACTGATTAAACAGGCTGATTTAGCAACAGTAGTGTAGACACAGTGAGAGTGAGAGAGAGATAGCGATAGTGTCTGTGTGTCAGGGCTCTACAGTGCGACCATTTTACTTGCATATGTGCCTAAATATTTTGCTGTGTGACCTGGAATGTTTATTTAGGGGCACCAGTGCGCCTAGAAAAATGTATGATTATAGCTTTATTACCTCAAATGTTTTTCATTGTGATCCTAATTTTTTGGGTGCGCCTAAACTAGGCGCTCGCGCGCTCCTTGTTTAAAAGGTCAGCATAAAGCCCTATATGTGTGCGTGTAGTCTAAAAATAGATGAAGGCTAGTGATGAAGATGAGTCTAGCGACTTGCTGACGCCAGCCTGGTCTGTTGATTCAATATGGCATTGTACGGATGGATGGCTGTATATTTACATCTCACAGGAGAGAGCTACACCTTTGGCGTGGAAATCTCCAGGATGGGACGTTCCCGCAGAACCCTGGGAGCACAGACACCGTCGGGGGTGTGACGACTGATGAAAACTTGAATTGACTAAATGTATGAATTAAACGGTCATGTTTGGTTTGTTTCAAGAGTTCATAAAGAGTTGTGAATGTTGATATGTCTCACTGGGCACACAATGATTGAGTCAATGTTGTTTCCACATTATTTCAATGAAATTACACTGAACATAAATATAAACGAAACATGTAAAGTGTTGGTGTTTCATGAGCTGAAATAAAAGATCACAGAAATGTTCAATATGCACAAAAATATTATTTCTCAAATGTTCTGCATTAATTTCTTTACATCTTGGTTAGTGAGCATTTCTCCATTGCCAAGATAATCCATCCACCTGACAGGTGTGGCATATCAAGAAGCTGATTAAACAGCATTATCATTACACAGGTGCACCTTGTGCTGGGGACAATAAAAGGCCACTAAAATGTGCAGTTTTGTCACACAACACAATGCCACAGATGTCTCAAGTTGAGGGAGCGTGCAATTGGAATGCTGACTTCAGGAATGTCCACCAGAGCAGATAATTGAATGTTCATTTCTCTACCATAAGCCGCCTCAAACGTCATTTTAGAGAATTTAGCAGTACTTCCAACCAGCCACACAACCGCAGACCAAATGTAACCACGCCAGCCCAGGACCTCCACATCCTGCTTCTTCACCTGTGGGATCGTCTGAGACCAGCCACACGGACAGCTGATGAAACTGTGGGTTTCCGCATCTGAAGACTTTCTGCACAAACTGTCAGAAACTGTCTCAGGCAAGGTCATCTGCGTGCTCGTCGTCCTCACCAGGGTCTTGACCTGACTGCAGTTCAGCGTTTTAACTACCTTCAGTGGGCAAATGCTCACCTTCGATGGCCACTGGCACGCTGGAGAAGTGTGCTCTTCACAGATTAATCCCGTTTTCAACTGTACCGGGCAGATGGCAGACAGCGTGTATGGCGTTGTGTGGGTGAGCAGTTTGCTGATGTCAACGTTGTGAACAGAGTGCCCCATGGTGGTGGTGGGGTTATGGTATGTGCAGGCATAAGCTACGGACAAAGAACACAATTGCATTTTAACGAATGCAATTTGAATGCACAGAGGTACCGTGACGAGATCCTGAGGCCCATTGTTGTGCCATTCATCAGCCACCATCACCTCATGTTTCATGATGATAATGCTGAAAATGTCCCAGTTCTTCCATGGCCTGCATACTCACCAGACATGTCACACATTGAGCATGTTTAAGACAGCGTGTTCCAGTTCCCGCCAATTTCCAGCACCTTTGCACAGCCATTGAAGAGGAGTGGGACAACATTCCACAGGCCACAATCAACAGTCTGATCAACTCTATGCGAAGGAGATGTGTTGCGATGCATGAGGCAAATGGTGGTCACACCAGATACTGACTGGTTTTCTACTCCACCTTTTTTTTTTAAGGTATCTGTGACTAACAGATGCAGATTTGTATTCCCAGTCATGTGAAATCCATAGATTAGGGCCTAATGAATTTATTTCAATTAAATGATTTCTTTATATGAACTATAACTCCGTAAAATCTTTGAAATTGTTGCATGCAGAGTTTATATTTTTGTTAAAATTGAAGCAATGTGGAATAGACGTTGAATTGACGTCTGTGCCCAGT